CCGACTCCAAACAAATGTCATGAATATTTAAAAAATAAACCCACTACAGGAGGTTATCTCAACGAGCATCTCTCGGTGGGGGCGCAAAAAAAGAAAAAAAATAAGGAAAAGAAAACCAAAAGTACTACGTAGATAAATCAGAGGTCAGAGCAATCCTTCCATCACGCAAACTCACCGCGAAGCCAAACGAGAAACTCCATTCCGGTGGAAATCAGCAGCGTTTTGCCTAGCGCGCTCTCGAAAAAAGAAAAAAAAACAGCGCAGCTTAATCTCCTAGTTTCATTGCGCGCACGAGAGACACATTAGGAGCACGCGGCGGAAATTAAAAATGAAGATGAGAGATTCGCAGCAGCAGTAGGCAAATAATAACAGTTCCACGTCGTTAGCTGGCATTAAACAATGTTATCGCCTTTTCTGCAACGCTCGCTGGAAATTCAATCTCGTGTACTCGCGCTACGCCGCCGCGTGTATGGCGAAAAGAGGCTTTCCGATGGGAATCCTTTCGATTTTCTTCGATTGGATGGTTTTTCTTTTGTGTTGTTTCCGCTCCCTCGATGCTGCCTTATACTATCCCGGATACGAATAATATCGTTGGTCGTTCGATTTTTCATTTCTCAGATTCTCTTCAGACTTTTTCTCCTTGCGCAAGCCATTCGTCATGTGTTCGAACGAATTCTATCTCGATTTCCTTTTTTTTTATTCATTTGAACGATTTAATTTTTATCGCTCGTTAATTTCTACTATTTGCATTGTTCTTTTTGTAATAAACAGTGGACGACCCTGTAGACTGACTGTCTTACGATTAATTTGGTGCATCAATCAATGACAGTAATTCTATAAAACCTCCGACGTTTCTACAATCCACGCCAGACTATAGCATTTTCTCGTATACCTATGCTACACAACATTGATTTTCAATAACGTAACTGATTGCTAGCTTTTACAATGTTTCCAATATTTTCTGCGAGAAATGGAGACAAGAAAATTGAATTGGTATATACACACTACTATAGCTAATTTTTGTCCTTTAAAAATCCTGATACATTTACTTTTATTTGAACAAAGTGACGGCTTTATCATCACTGAGAGTGTTTTACTTGGGAATTTTCTTTTTATTATTTCTAGTGAATTAAAAATGTTGAATTCAAAATTAACATGTAAAAAAGGAGATAAAAAAATCCAGAAAAGCTATAGAAACTTCCGTACAATATACATAAATAAACTACAAAATATATATCGCGAGCCAACACTTTCACGAGAAAGCCCAAGAAAGGACAAAATATCGATGCGCACGATATTTTACGAGAACGAAGCGTTTCCGGATGTCCTTGCGTGAGAGAGAGAGAGAGAGAGAGAGAGAGAGCGAGAGGGAGAGAGAGAAAGAGAGAAGAGCTTTTTACGTGGAATGCGGATCGATTATTGCTAAGATTACGTTCTGTTTTTCAACAAACTCACTACAGTGCACATACTGCGAGTTAACTGAACTTTGCTTTTTTAATGATACATTACTTTGCTTACAGTTGATTATGTGTATATTCAAAAAAAGGCAAAAGGAGTTTGAAGCAATCACACTTGCCTATGGAAAATATACGAGAGCTAGGAAATAACAGTAAAAAAGATGAGGAGCCCACTTTTCTACCGTCAGTTTTCCCGTCGAGTAAAGTATATGCACGCGAGCAAAGAGTGAGAATAGATATCGAGCGGACAACTTTTTTCTTTCCTTTTTTGTTTGGCTGAGGGATTATCGCGCGCTCGAGCGCGAGCTTTTACTTTTGCCAGTAGCAGGTCCAAGGGGTAATAGGGAAGAAGACGAAGAACTTAATCGCAATGAAGCAGTGAATTTTCAATTCATCTTACGTAAACATCAGCTGTGTCACGATGAGTAGCTTGGGCGACGAGGATTTAGAAAGTTGACGCTGTATTATAAAGTTATGGAAATTAGTGCGGCGGGTAGCTATGGATTATTAACAGCGATCCCCTTCTCATTAGCCAGTCAATTTTACGTCCTGACATTAATTTTATTATCTTTGGCGATGCTATATGTATATCACCAACGAACTTTCTCTTTGTCTTTTAAGTTACATATTTTGTTAATGAGCTTGCGATTAACATTTTTTCAAAGAATGCATGTTCGATAAATTCAATACCAGGATATTCCTCGAAAATATGTACGGTAACATTCTACAAAACCTTTTTCAGACAATACGAAAATTATTTTTGTTATACAGAGTGGGGAAAAAATATAAAAACAGCTGGAGATTTTCTGCGGAAAGTAGAGTTTTGTAAACTTATACATAATATAATATTTCTCTTGTAATTTTTTCTGATTTTTCGAATGGGGTACTTAGTTTTTGAGCCCAATATTAAATGTGATCCGGAATCTGATCGAAATGGTAAATTTTTAATAGAAATTCCTACTTTTTATTGCAGATTGGGATTTTATGGAAAATTTTACGTGTGGATATAATGTTATATAATATTTAAATAATTAATTTTTTAGGTCGCAAAATGGGCTGAAATATTGAGAACAATGAACATTCTGAAATGATCCAAGTTTCATAAATTTTTGCATAGTTTCTTTTGTAAGTTTTTGTAAGTAATATATCATTCTTTTACTTGAATCATTTAGTTTTTGGGCCTAATACCATAAACATGTAACAGGTTCAAGTTCAATCTAACTTCAAAAATGTTGAGGAAACTATTAATTTATAATAATAGTTTTTAATTGATGAAATTTTCTGTTAATCTATTTTTTAAATTATTCTAGCCTAACTTATTTTTTAATTCAGGATATGAGATATCCATTCTTTAGCGCCACCTAAAAATAACGACAAGGACATAGTAGGATATTTATGATTTTTTTGTGATGCTTTTTTAATGTGAGTCACCTTTCCTCTCACGTTTTAGGGTGTATTTTACATCTTCTTAAATATTAATTATTCATCATAGTTGCTGAAAATCGTATTTGTACATCATTTCGAATAAGAACCAATGGAATAGTTTTTCTTTGTTGAAGAATTCAGTTTTTTGATTCAACGAGATTTAGAGGATTCGTCTTTTATACATTATCTTTTAAATATCCCTACAGAAAATAGTCTGACGGTGTTAAATAAGGGGATCTTGGAGGTTATTCAATTGTTCCTCTTCGACCTATCTATCGAGAAAATTGTTATCGAGAAACTGTCGAACGTGGCGGCCATAGTACGGTTCAGCACCATCATCTTGCTGAGTTCAAGTATCTATAAAATCACGTTATTATACTTCTCATATTGCTGGAACTATTTGTGTCGTTAATATTATTTCATATTTTTTTTATGTTAATTTTTTTTTAATGAAAAAGGACCGGCCAAGAGATTATCAATAATACCTTCCCAAACATTTAACTTTTGAGGTTACTTTTTATGACTTTCTCCCATCCAATAAGGATTAGTTTCAGAACAAAATCAACAGTTACGACTGTTAACATTTCCATTCAACTAAAAGATTGTTTCGTCTGAAAAAACTTCATTACTTAAAAATAGAGAATTATGATCTATTCTTTCCAGTTTGTTCTATTCTTTTTCTATCTATCTATTCTTTTCTATCTATTTTATATCTATTCTTTCAATTTTTCATCCTTAATACTTTTGGCTCAGATTTATAATCAATTTTATGCAGTTTATCTATTGAATAACTACTCTTATATGGATTTTCTACAAATGATAGCATAAGATTTATATTGCATTGTATTCACTGGTCGCTGATGATGGTATATCAAGAATAAGATGGCCTTTCGCTGAACAAGTCTTGTTTACATTCTAACACCACCTTAAAAACTATATTTTTTGATATAGGTACAGCCTCATTTCGGTACAGTTTATTGAAAAGATTTCTCACATCCGTATAAGACCGTAGACTATTACCATAACTTCTCATCATTAAAATAGATATATGTTTTTTTTCTGCGATGCTTAATATATCATTCAGAAATATAATACTAATATAGTTTTAATAATATTTCTTATAACTTGCTAAGAAAAAGAAATTAATTTAATAAAAAGTTTTGTGAGCTTCTGTTTAAAAATTATTCGTCGAATTTACACAAATTTTCCAATAAAATAATCCGTAATAAGTTTAAAAATGTACTCGTAATACTTTTAATTTCACAGCAACTTTATCCAATTAAACTTAAAAAATTAGAAAAAATTAAAAAGTTAGATATGAACACCTTCATTTCCGTTTTCTTAAAATGCAAACTTTTAAGACCGTCGAAAAAATAATGAAATAACTTAAGATCACATGCTTTTCATAATTGCATTCACTGTCGCGGTACAGAGCAAAATTATTGATTATACATTTGGTTTCTATTATAAATAAAAATGTACGATAAATTTTATTAATTTACATTTTTCAAGAAAGCTCAATACATTTTCTAAAATACGACACTTTACAAGGTTTATAGTTCACATTTGTAATAAACTGAAACGTTCTATTGTCTGTAATTAAATTTTTTTTTAAATAAATTGATGAAATATTTTAGTTAATATTGCAAAAAACTACTTGGCTTTTTTACGAACACGCGCCTGTAAGTTTTTAATAGAAAGTATATTACGTTTCATGATATCCAGATGTACAATTTCCCGTAAAATCTAAATCAGTAATAAAAAGTATGGTTTTTCATTAGATATTATAAGTTATTTTCGATTTGGGACTTTAGTTAGCATTGGGTCAAAAAACTGAGTACTCCAAAATGACAAAAGAAACATTATTTAAATTGACAAAACTCTACTTTCTGCAAAAAAAACCTTCGGGCGTTTTCATCTTTTCTCCCCACCGAGTATAAGCATTTGATGTAATGGGTGTAATTCATATCGAAAACAAAAGTTCAAATAAAAGTGTGAAAATTCGTACTGTTATCGCTACTGAACGTATTCGACGGTTCAATTTAAAGCGCAAAAACCATCACCACCAACGTAGAAATCGAAGCAAAAAAGAGAAAGAAAAGGAGAATGAAAGCTTACTTTTCTACGTCCGCAGCAAAGCATGGCCGTAGCGCCGCCGCCGTTGAGCTGGCGTTGTTGTATGGTTGTCGTGGTGGATATAATGGCAGGTCGGCAGACGTATCCGCCGAGACCGTCTTGTAAAACGCGCACCTGCAGCCTCGGCTGCTGCTGATGCGGCGGCTGCGGCCTCGACTCCTCTCCTCCTTCCTCGTCTTCCAGCGACTGTCCCGAATCTTCTCCGTTTTCCCTCGAATGCCGATGATTCTGCTGCTGCTCCGGATGATGACGCTGATTCTGCCTTTGACCAACTCCGACACGACCACCGTACTTGATACGCACGTGTTTTCGCCACTGCATTAGTCCGGCGCGTCATGCCCACTTCCTGCAAATAAGACAAATAAAATCACTTTGTATCGTGCCCTAGTAGAACGTAGCATTACCGTAGTGCTGTATTGACATTAGTTATAGACTCTAGCGTGCTTCTATAGAATTCATTGCGCAACATAAAAGCGTAGGGCGCAAAGTGCCGTAATCAAATAGCTTTACAATTTTCTCGTTTAGAATTTTTTCTAATGTTTGTTTATCCACACAAATGATATAAACGTGCTTTCTATACACTCGGAAACCGAAATCATTCGTTAACAGCCCTTATTCACGCGGAAAAACGAGAAACTGTCGTTCGATGAAATATGCATATACGTAAAACTGATCATAAAAGCCTAGTAATAAGCCTTGAAACATCTCTATCATAAAGTGTTAAGAGACGAGGAACGCGCAAAAAAGAAGAGGAGCTCGCCGAATACATTTTCCTACCCAAGCAAGTAGGTTAGGGTATATATCTCTCTCGTCTCTCTTGAGCACGAGCTTCTGAAAATTACGTTGGACTTTGATCTCTCTCTCTCTCTCTCTCTCTCTCTCTCTCTCTCTCTCTCTCTCTCTCTCTCCTTTTTCTTATGAGGCTCTCCACGTTATCAAGGAAAGCGCCACCAAGAAGAAGAAGCGTCTTCGATAAAGAGGCTAAAAATCTTCCTAAAAACTACGAAAGAAACTTTCGTGATGAAAGAAGATTTCGTGATGAAATAAACAAAAGTCCGTGCTTTGTTCGCCTTTGTCCATACACGACATATTGAGGTACATCCAGCATCGATTTCTGACACTTCTGCCAGCCAATACAACATTGCAGCGGATGTGAGCTTTGTTTGCTATTATCTTCGCTTTTTTATCCCTACGTTTGTCGCCCACGCACGCGCATGTGCACAGCGGCATTTCATAACCTACTTTGCGGACGATTCTGCGTCGGTGGGGATAATACGTACAGCTATGTACTTGTAAGAGAGGATCAAAAGGGCAACCTGATAAATTGCCTAAGTTTTCGAGAATTTTTCACAATCAAAAGGCACGATCGATGACATTTTTATAAGTTTTGACAATTTGAGAAGAAATTTTTTATTATTACAGTAGTTGTATAATTTGTTATTCGCAGTAGAAAATAAAGTGGATACATTTGAATGGCTTGAATGTATACGATTAGAATTTTAAAAGGTACAAGTATTTAAACATATACGCACGTTTTACTTGCATACTTCTATTGAATATGAATAATAATTCTTTATAAAATAAAAATTAATTTTCCATTTCTTTCAATAATTCATAACTGAAACTTCTTAACACATTATCAAATATTTCTTCTATTGAATAATAAGAATCTCTTGAATAACAAACCAAGATACGCAGAAATGATATTTTACTGATGAATATTGTAGACAAACCAATACTAAAAATACTCCTGCAAGGATTTAATTATATTCGATGTAATACGCAATCAATCTAATTTTGGTGTCCTAATTGAATCACTTCTATGTTGTAATGTGAGAATTAGATTCTCTGATAGTACACTACAGCTATTTCTGAAGTATCCCAGTAACCAAAAATCTCGCGTATAAATAGAGAGATTAATTGTGAAATTATAATTCTATTCGTGCATCAATTGTTAATCAAGAAAAGTCCGTCGAACTAAACATTGAGATTGTGAAAAAGAAATATTCTAGTACCAGCGTTAAAGTTCGTTGGCGCTTAAATCTGAAATCGATATAAATTTTTCAAAAGTAAGTCGGGGAAAATTCAGAGAGAGAGAGAGAGAGAGAGAGAAGCTAGGCATTCTGCTCTCTCGCAAATCACTTGCACTCGAGGAATCGTAAAAGAATACGAGGAAAAGCCTGGAAGCCCTCAATCCGAGTTGCTACTTCTGCATCCTCGAAAGTAAAAAGCTTCACGATATACACATAGCACATAGCCAGAAAATTCTTTCTTTCTTTCTTTTTTTCGGAGGCAAACTGAAAGCCGAGATGTCGACGCGCAAAGAATTTATATCGGCTTCGGACGCTTGCGCATATAGATATTATCGGACTCTCTCTCTCTCTCTCTCATTTAACTTTTAAAAATTTTTCATTTCCCGGCGAAAAAGAGATCGACATAACACGCGGCCGCACTGCGGTTAAGGTTTATTTTGCCCAGCTGTTTCAGGCTATGACTCTCTCCGTTATTTTTTTTTTGTTTGGGCCATTCTTCATTGCTCGAATTTTATCGAGAGTTGAAAATGATTATTCAAGCGGTGTGCGCTTATACGATTGTTAAGGCAAGTTCTTTCATTGCGCGCTAACGAGAATCGTTTTCTCAGTTGTTCGATAGTTACTTTCAAAATTAATTGTCATCAAAATCACATTGTAAGATCATTCGAGAAAATACAAAGAAAATCAATAAACTTTATTGTACGTCATTGAACATAAACAACGGCGTTGATAAGAATTTCAAATGTATCGCTGAATGAGCCTAAGACCTTACCGACTTGAATACGTAGCTTGCACCCGGGCCACAAAAAGTGTAAAGCACCCTTTTTTTTGACAAAAAAATACTCGGTGTGTGTGTGCGCGTATGTGTGTGTGTGTGTGTGTGTGTGTGTGTGTGTGTGTGTGTGTGTGTGTGTGTGTGTGTGTAAGCGCCTTAGAAGACATGGCCCGAGCGTCTCGTAAAAGTAGATCGACATATCTTATTCACGAGTAGCTGCCGAAAATAAAAGCTTGCTCTCTCACCTCGACGAATAAGTTCGGTTTTTATCTTCTTCGTGTGTCAGCTGATAACCCCTTTTTTGCCTCATACCCGGCTATTATTTTTGCACGACAATAACAACCTTGGCCTATTTAAGGGATACTTACTTGACATTTTCTTTTTAGTTTTAATTATATGTCACCAAGATGAAGACGTTCTTATTTGGATATCCTTCGTGACAATGTTCGGAGAAGACGAATCGGTATATTTTCGTGTTTATTAATTTATTGATTTCTCTATCTAAGAAACATCTAAGATACTGTTTCAGGATGAAATAATGGAAATCGATTGAATTATTCGATCTAATTTTTCTTGTTAAATTTTAAACTTGCGAGTTTCGAAGATGTATCGTTGAAATTTCATAAGAGTTTGTCGATGTTGATCTCTTTAGGTGGAAGAGATCATGTCATTTCATGGAAATATATAAAAATCTTGGATTGTATACCAACCGTGAATCAACCTATTATTTGAATCCTTATCCACCTCGGTACTTTTCATCACGTATTTTACAAAAGACTGCGCGACCCGGATAGTTTTCAACAGCATAAAATTAAATTTCTTCTTTAGAAAATTGAGAAACTTTAGTTTGAGATTCGTTCATAAAATATTCTTTTCAAGATGACACAAATATCTCTTCCTTGTTTTTTTTCGTCGTCGTCGGAAAAAGTCGTTGACCGAATTTGTTAGAAAATCGTGTGGGTTGGTTGGCGATTTCCCGTGAAATAGACACATAACTACAGGTTTTCGGATTAAACTTTCCGAGTTGAAATTAGGAATGTTGCAAGGTATCCCTTTTACAGTCTTCTTCGTCCTAACTTTTGATTTATTAATATTAGTAATCTCAGTAAGGATCTAGGCAAGTTATAGTTTGTAATTTATGGTTTCTGAATAATAATTTCTAGAAAATATCATTTCCTTATAAAACATTAGAGGCAAGCGGTAATTCAGATAAATTTGGTATATTTACAATTCCATAACTGTTGGTCTAGATATGTTGTATCACTAAACAGTAATTATTATCCTCTTTCGATGTATCGATGTTATTCTATAAGCCCTCCTTCCTTCCGTAAGCTATTATCACTATTACATAACACAGTATTTCGGTCGCAATATTTCTTTTACCCTGGCGAGATCATTTTCATCAACAACCGAAAACTCTTAATCCGAAGGGAAAGTGGAAACCACGAAAATTGTAAAAAAATTATGAGAAGGAAACGATACGACTAGGGTATAGGTATACGTATACGACCTTGACCCACTGATAAAATCTTGTTTCCTCTTCCCCATACCCTCTTCACACGTGTCAACCAATAATATCACTATGACCACACGCACGCGTGCACACAAGCAACTTGCGACTCTTTTGCTTAGCTTCGTTTGTCACGCTCTATTTTTTTTCTTTTATCGTTACTTTTATTTTGCAGGAATGGGATTCCAAGTCATCGGATAACTGTTTTGTTTACGCGTCTTTTACTGTGACGTGTGCTCAATATTCTTCATATATGTCAAGACATACATGGAAAAAAGGATGAAAATTTTGTATGGCTGTATCTCAGTTTGTTAATATTTCTAAAACTAGGTGAAGCACAATTTGATTTTTGAAGACTATGTCGAACGAGAAGGTCTGGATGTGAATTTCAGAAATTGCATGATTTCCCAAAAATGACGAAAATATTGTCCGTTTCTAGCGTTAGCGAGTAAAAGAAATTTGCCGCTTATAAAAAGAGCGTCGTAAAATGTCAATGAAATACTTGAAGCATTTTAAATTGTGATGCGGATCCACTTGAATTATTCCAGGCATTTTCATCATATTCTTTGTGAGTCTTGTCTCTCGCTTTGACGAGGAAGAAAATTTGACATCGTTTCTTCGCTATCTACGTGGCCTACTAATGATCGACAACGTCATTTATTTTAATTAATTTAAATAACAATAGAATATTTAAAATTATTGGCCAATTGAAAAAGACTTGCATGGAAAATATTGCAATAAACAATTGCTCAACTCGCAGGACGTAACGGGAGATATAAATTAGTAAGAATGGAACAAATAGAAGAGAGTAAAAGAAGGAAATAGTGTGCAACGCGGTTCGGCCATCTCTTTAATAAAAAAACTTTGAGCGAGTTCTCGCAGAGGCTAATGAATGAAAAGTCTTGGCGGCGACGAAAATTCGAAATGAAAATTCGCATGCCCCGCAAAAAAAAATCCGAGAGAGAGAGAGAAAGAAAGTCAGAAAGCTCAAAGTGAACGTAAATAATTATGATATTTTTTCACTGCCAGCTACTGCTGCCACCACCGCTAGCCAGTTTATTTAATAATTGAAAAGTAGAGTTACGGTATTTGCATGTATATACATGTTCAAGATCTTGACAGAAAAATTATAATCCGCTTTTCTGGCTTTGCGTCTATTGAATGCATTCTGATAATCCGCTTTGCGAATGATGAAATTGTACATTGATCATAGACACTATAGAGATGGAAAACGAGACACAAAGGAGGAAACTTAAAGCGGCGCACAGAATTCAATCTTACAAAACAAAGGATTCTGAACGCTACCGTTTTGAAGTATCACCGCAGAGGAGTTTGCGCGTGGCGCACAGAAGAGCAAATGGATACCCTCCCTCCCATTATCCTCGCGAGCACGAGCTGAGCTGCCGTTAAAACGCGAGCACGAGCTTTATGTACTTCGCCGGAGCAGAAAAGAGAAAGACCGCGACGAAAATTCGTTTTTATCTCGACGAGCGCTGCCGATTGCTCCCGTGCGAGCGTGCAACTATACTGCGCTACCACCGCTGCTGCTTTTGCGGTTTTTCCCTACAGTACTGCGCTGTAAATGTCTAATTTTCCGACAGCCGTTCCTTTGTTTTTTTCTTGTCTTGCGGCTGGAGAGTGTAGTTTTCTCTTTCAACGTTTACGAATGTTCTATCTGCTAAACTGACGAATATTTTTGGATAAATCACGATAGTCAATAAGGTCTTTATTTAGTTTCAGCCGCTACTTGTTTGCAAAAGAAAATTTAGTAGTTTATAAGTGAAATCTATTTATTTTAACGACCTATATCTTCAAAGTGCTCGAATTTCACAATCGTTACGTTGTAATTATATATAAACAGAAGTAATTCTCAAGTAATACTTGTCTCAATTACTTTTCAAACTTCAATCGAAATACGTTACTTTTTCAAAAAAAGTTACTCAAAGAAAGAAAAGAACAGCGAAAACCTCTTAAATGACTTCATTTACACTGTAAACAAGATATAAGATAGCAACTTTTGTTCTGTACTGGGGAAGAGTAACAACAACAAGACGCAATTCGCTCGGCTAGAGAGGCAAAATTGTTGCTCCCGCGAGAGCGTCGAGATTGTTTTGCTCGTGCACCAGTACCGCCATCGTCGAGAGAGGAAGAGATAGCATAGGCGAAACTAGCGACAATAAGAGAAATTGCGGACAAAGAGGTGCAATCGGCGTATACAAACCAGCATCGCCAAGATAAGCCGCTGGAAAAAATTATGCGCTGCTAAAAGCGAGACAGGTCTCGAATTTTCTTTTGACGTCGCGCGCGCGCGCGAAAATTTATTGCAAGTATCGATTATTGCATGTATATAGTATTCATTTCCATCGAATGTAGTTTTCAATGTTTGCTTTTTTCGGATACGTGATGGATTCCAACGTTGCGAAATGAAATTCAAGCCGCTTGTTTAAAAAACAGAAAATTCTCGTAAAAACATGACCCGAGCGATAAATTTGCATAGTAGTATACAACGGCTGTTGGGGACGGGCGAGCAAAAATAATGACAAAGATGAATTATGTTGAAAAATCTCTGATAATTTCATTTCTAGTAAGGAAGAATTTGCAGCTGGTGATGCCAAATACAATTTTGAAATTTTGAAAGATGATACAACAAAGAGCGGTCTCACTGGGGCTTGTTGTATGTAAGTATAGTGTTGTTGTATGCGCCAAATAGAGAACTTGCTCGGTGAGACTCCGTGGCCAGTTATCTCCTGGCCACATAGAGACAATGGCAAAAGAGAAAGTCTGGGCTTTCTGCGTTAGCAATGCGTCGGTGTTGATCATTTAAGTGGGTTTGGCCCTATTTCGTTCGACTATCGTTTACGTACGTAGATTATCTATACAACAACGTCTGTATTGAAACAACGCGGTTGTCCGCTTAAATCGCTGTTTTCGCGGTTCGTAACAATGTCAGCTTGTAAGCGTGTAACTTAATCAGAAAGCTCATTTCTCACCGAAATCACAGTGATTTGGCACGCGAGAGGCAAATGACTTTGCGTGTCGCAAAATGCACATGCAACAATAACAAAAATTTGTTCCACGCGCGGGCGCATAATTATTTAATGCCCGTTAAAAACTTAGCGAGGACTGGCTCGTTAAACAGCGTTTAGCGTGTCAAGAATGAAACACACCCTCCTCTACTCTTTTTTTTCTTTAGCTTGCAAGCTCAGCAGCATTACTAATGCATTAGCATTTGTTACACACGAGGTGAAGCACGAGTTGCATTGTTTGGACTAAAGTGGACTTGTTTAATTGGTCCTTACCGTCTAAAGATTATCTCTCTTGCGATGGGCCGGTCGGTCCCTACTCCTGCCTTCGTGGGTGAGGCCTTTCATTGTGCTTTGTTATCGGGCCTAGCCAAGTCTCCTTTCTCTCTCCGCTCTGCAATTCAAATAATTTAATTAAGATCTTCTTGAGATAGCGATGTAATAACTTTGGAGGAATATCAATCGTTATTTTTCGCTTTAGCAGACGATTAAATATTGGAAAATTATTCGCACAGCTAACGATTTGAATAAATCCAGTGACGAAATGACTTATTTACAGTCCACATTCGTACGACCAAAACCCACTTTTTCCACTGAGAAACAGCTTTTAACTAAAATAGCAGGTATGATACACATTCGTGGTATGTGCAAGTGCAACGATGAAGCGGGCAAAATGAATTTTTGATAAGCTCACGTTTCACGCAAAAGAGGTTAATGTTAAATGAGGGTCGCGCGGTGAGAATACAAATTTCACGCGACCGTACATATAACTACGTATTGTTCGCGAATCTTACAATACAGAGAGGATCAAAGTATATTTTTTCATTAAAAATGTCAAGTTAATGTTTCACCCGAGCTAGTAAAATTTCAATTTGCCGAAGAAGAAAAAAAAAGCAATTTCAATCGCACACAAAGTATTTCTTCTTTTCATTCAGACAAGTTTAAAAGAGCAATGCGCTATTCGAACGAATATCTCTTTTTAACGTCACGATTATATTCGCATTTAAAATAAACATATATATGTATTGATCGATCGAGTGTGTATTGTAACGTAATCCGATAAAACTGCAAACAAGAAAGCTTTTTTCCTCCGTCTACATTTTTAGGGTGCGCAAGCTTTCTTTTCTTAGTATTTGATAAAAACAAACGCAGATTGCCTCGTTTTCCTCTCCTCCTTTTCATCTCGACGAAAGCCCTATCACAATAAAAGATAAGAGAAGCCGGCAAAGAACATTGCATCTCTCTCTCTCTCTCTCTCTCTCTCGGCCTTGACATCTTATCGTTCAAAGAAAAGATTTTTTTCCTTGATGATACGTGCCACGTTCATCCTCCTTACAGCTCCTTTCTCTTTTTTTCTTATCCGCAGTGACGCCCTGAAATTAAGATGTGACAAATGTTCGCTTTTTTGTTTTGTAAGAGAGAACCGCCATTTCTTTATCGCCATATGTTTTAATTTCAACTGAGGAGGAGGAGGTGAGTAGTTACGGATAATGGGGCTTTTGATCGATGAAGTTTTTTCAGGGAGCCTCATCCCTTCTAAATGAAAATAGTTTTGTGCTTTCGTCGACTAATGAACGAGATTCGTATCTGAAATTTTTCGATTGAAAAAAACTTTTTACTGGCTTTTTTAACCCTTTACCTGCCCAATTTACCATAGTATAATTTGTTTATACTATAATTGAAAAGCCAACAGCGACTGGTTTTTCAATTTTGGTCTTTTCAAAAGGTCTTTGAAAAATAAAATCTTGTTTTGTTAGAAATACTTTTGTTAGAAAACATATTATTAATGGATGGGATAACCTATACTCGTATTAAAACTAGGCATTTAGCAGCTTGACATATCGGTGGATCTTCTAATTAACGCTTCGATTCTCCGAATCCATTCACTGATACTCCAATTATCAAGTTCGAATGAAAAGCTCGCTTTCGTCGAAGGATCGAAATTTTGAAAATTCAAGATGGCTGATCCCGCAAGCCTTTCAACTCGAAGAACGTATACCCGCAACGAACCGTTAACCAACATTCTTCCTGTGACGTTATTATTAACCCTGAAAATCTCTATCTTAAGAATACTTAATTACTTTTTACCCTCAATTAAGAATACTAAATAAACTACAAAAGCTCCTTGCTGCTCAAAAGCATTTTTCGATCAAACAAAAACAGCCTAAAAAATAATACGAATTTATATTCCGGTAAGTAGGCAAGCGGCGTGGTTAGGCAGCCTTTTATTTTATGGTGTGCGTGTATGTGTAGACATCCGGGACTAGCGATCGATATACCCTTTTTTCTCATGCAGCGAGGAGGACTTTGGAAGAATCGTGCCATTTTTTCCTGAAATTTATTCGATTCCTCTTCCAGTATTCTCAATGGCATCACGCATATTTCAATGACAGATTGTAATAAGAAAAAAAGATGGGGGAGGAGGATTAGAAAGAGAGAGTAGTTTTGAAGAAGAGACACAAAGAATAGAGAATGATATAGAAAACTCGGTCGCTGCTCCTTGCTTCGAGCAGAAGCGAGAAAGAGAGAGAGAGACGCCATCCGCTTTGCGCGCCGTCAAAATCAATACGACCTACCTGCCTCCCTCTCACGCGCGCACGCTCCCCGCTTTTCCTCTACACCCATCCACGCGCACACACGTACACATAGACACGTTCATGCCAATATTTCGACTACTTTTTATGATTTTTTGTTTCGTTTCTTTCCCTCTCACAGCTTCCTTACGTTACGTGATTATTCCTTCACTCTCACCAACTTCATTATTTTACTTTTTGATTCATCACACACAGACACACTTTGGTTGCGATCTTGGATATGTATTAAAACACCATTGGGCTTTCTGCCTTGCTCGTAAAACAAGTTGAGATTTACGTACCCCCTAGTGTTGGATACTAATTTCTTTATTTATTTTTGGCTCGTTCAACGTGCCGATTACTTGCACTTTGACAATGCAGTGCAAGAAATTGAAACAAAAAAAATCCAACAATAACAATAACAAACAACTTTGAGAGATACGTGAGAGTAGTGTGCGAGCCCGCGACGAGACTCGACTGCCGAGAACGTTGAACCCGGACGACGACGACGCGTACTCGCTGAGGGATGAAGCGCGACGGAAAAGCAACGCGCGCGCGACGCTTTTTTCACCAGTCGACTCTCTGCGCATGACTCACAATTACCCCACTACAGCGATCGTACGAGGGGGTACGATGGCCGCTCTCTACTACGAGCTTGCATACGCTGCTGCCGCTGTTTCTCCTACTTACGAGCGATTCTCTCTATCTCGCTCACTTTGTGTGGGTAAGGCTTGTATATGCATTGCTCGAATGACTGTGTTTGCGTTTGAAAATCCGCTGCGATATTGGATATACAGCGTGAGTTTGTTACTACTGCTACTGTTTTGAACTGATTATTATTTGAGAATGAAATCAAATTCTTTTCGGGACGATTGACTTCTTCCGAACTCTATTTAAATTTAAATGTATTTTTTTCACTGGTTGGTAGTAAGTAATTAAACGTGTTTTTTTTTACTAGCGAATTAATTTTATTTTATACTGTTAAATAAAAATCATGGTACCGATTCATATTCAACGGAAATCGCGAAAAAAAATTTTCATTTCTGACCAAACTGACTTGTTCTACTTATTTTCTATTTTGCCAAAATCATTATAATTTATTCATTACTGCTGCACATACATCGGACGTTGAAATATTAATTGTAATAATTAATGATTAATGATACATCGCACATAAGAATTTTACGCGACATGTCAAATAAAATGAAGTCCTACATCAAATCATAAAAACCGGCCTGTACAATTTCGGTATTTCCGTATATATACATGATTGAGGCAAAAAAAGCTCGAAGCCCGTTCTAAAAAATTGGTGCAATGTGAAAAGTCTGCGCGAATATATGCACAATAAAACAGAATTTATATTCCTCGAGAGAGAGGGGAAGAAAAGGCGCAATAAACACTCGCATAACGCACCCATGCATAGGCTGCCGGTGCTTTCGTGGCATTGGCGCACAAGAAAAAAGAAGAGAAAATAAAGAATGAAAAAAGAAAGAGAAAGAGCGAAATCGCGAACACAGACAATTTTTTCTCGTCTCTTTCTCGCGAGTAGATATGGTAGAGGATCGTCGCATTCCCGAAGGAAGGGCGATGGCGCATGCGTGCAACGAAATTATTCGTACAAAAGAGAGAAAAGAGAGAGAGAGAGCGAGAAAGAGACAGAGAGAGAGAGAGAGAGAGGGAGAGAGTGAGAGAGAGAGTGAGAGAGAGAGAGAGTGAGAGAGAGTGAGAGAGAGCGAGAGAGTGAGAGAGTGAGAGAGAGAGAGAAAAGCAGAATAGCCACTACGTGTTGGCGCATTCGGACCAGCAACGATCTGAATTAGGTTTTTCGTGTTTTTCATCTTTTGCAAGCAAAGACGCGCGTGAAGAAAAGTAGAAAAGAGGTAGAAGACTAAGAGGATTAAGAGAGAGAGAGAGAGAGAGAGAGAGAGAGAGAGAGAGAGAGAGAGAGAGAGAGAGAGAGAGAGAGAGAGAGTCGCCTTTACGTCGCCTTTTCGATTGGCTGCTATGCGCACTCCTCTCTCTCTCTCTCTCTCTCTCTTTCTCTGATACTTCATTCTATTTCGAAGCCATGCTGTTTTAGGAATGCGACAAGTGTTTTTCGAAAGCATGTTAACTAGATGATAAGGGATGATTTCTCAACTGGGTCACTTTATTGAATTCTTCTTTTTCACTCCTTGCTACATGGGATGTTCGATTTCTAATCGACATTTCGTGTATAATCGAATAATCGATGTTTTAATATCTTTTAATTAGCGTCACTTGTATACATGAACTTTATTCAACTGATCCGAAAATTCACTCACGAATATACACCGCAATTATATTTCCCAACATCTATACGTCTTAAAAAAATAAATACGAATTCATTCACAAATAATGTTTTTTAATTAAAAAAGAAAACAGCGTACGCAAAGCGCAGCTAGTTTCAAAGACTAGTGTGGTAGCGTAGTAAGAGCACGCGCCACATGAAATCCTACGGCCTCGCGATTTAGCTTTAGGGAAGGTGGGACATTCAATATGCTCCAACATCAAACGCCATACACGAAAAAAATGGATAAATACGCAAGGAAAGAAAAACCTGAGCGAAAAGCGCCTTCCACGCGAATTTTCCAGACATGACTTCATTACCGAACGCGCTATATTTTCCTTTTTGCCCTCTTACTTCGGTATACGATTCATTAAGCATTGCGCGCGAGCCTCATGTTTACTTTTAAAGTCGTTTGCTTTTGGCCATTCCCGTCACCAGGGAGCATTATTGGAATAACGTTTTACAATAAATCTCACTGGCTTCGTTGCACCCCTGCCATCGATGCACGCGAGCCTCAGTTATATATAAAATTTCACTCGGTTTCTCCATTTTCAACTGCTGAGTTAGAGTTCGAGTATAGATATCCAAGTAGCATGCGATGTCAAGCGTTGGAACGTTTTGAAGCCTCACCTCTTCCCCTCTCTCTCTCACCCTCTCTCTCTCTCTTTCTATCTCCCTCTTCTTTTAGAAACTCGAACCGAACTGCCCTATTCAAGTCGTTACGTAGGTTTCTATACGTATGTTTTCTTTAGTTTTCATTCTCCAGAAGATTATTTCGCGCTTTTGTAGTCAATAAATGGCTTTTTGTCGATTTATAGGATGTTACTTACTTGTGAGAAATTGACTTTTCTTTGATAAGAAAACACTTTTATTCTCGTGCCGATTCCATTGAAAATAAGATGGAGCGAGCAAAGCTAACGCAGACCGAAAAATGTTTTTCTTCGTAAAGAGCGTCGAAAAATATAATTCACCCGTGGAAAAGCAGTCACGAGTTTGTGGACAAAGGAAAGCACAGATTGACCATTTAGGAAGCGATCAGATCATTGAATTGTTGTTTTACTTTACTAAGGAAATTTCTCGTGATAAATTAAAAATTGACAGTTCGTCACTTTGTCAGATGATACAATTTTCTCAGAAAGTTTTAAATTATTTTTGTCGCTATCTGTTCGATAAAATGAATTCAGTACTAAAAAAGAAAAATAATCCGATGAAAATCGCGTTTTGTAATGTAATTTCTTCTCCTTGCTACCTTGAAAAAAAATATATTCAATCATCACGCCTCTTGAAAAATACCCTGTAACCTAATCCGATAAAGCTGCGAATAAAGTATATACGTATATACACATTGTGCGGCAATCTCCATCTAATCGAGATAGTAAGCTTTCGTGCATATCCAATAAGCAATCTCCACCTCAACACGCTCAACTAGGATCTCGATGGACAACAGAAGGCACTGGCTATTTTCATTGGCCACGCACTGCGTCCGTGTTTTTGGCATGGACACGCGCGTACCTCATTTAGACGTCCACGAAACGTGGAAGAAAAAAAAAGAAAGGGCACCGATTGCGAATCGAATCTCAATTCGAGCTGCACGTCAGTAACGACGACCCATTTCCGCTTCGTCAATCTCTCTTCTCGCGGCGGCCTTCCACGTCCGCGGCAGTAACTCTCTCTCTCTCTCTCTCTCTCTCTCTCTTCCTCTATCTTGTTCTCTTTCTTTCGCTTATCCTTCTTCTTTTTCTGCTGTCTGTTAGATCTTTCAACGTTTGCTATTGCTAGATTGACTGCAAATAGGTAATTAAGGTTGAGATAAAATGTTTTAATACTGACGCAAGTTAATTGTATGAATTATTTATTATAGATTATTGTTATTTACCTTATTAAGCGTGCACCATTAGTAAAGATTTAAAAACAAAATAATTGATAAACATATTTTTTTAATTGCAGCTTTGAAGATCGAAGTAAACAAATAATGATTTCTCATTATTTTCCGTGACTTTATTCGATTATCATTGTTTACAAAGCATCAAAGGTCAAATACATTTTCTATGATGCTTTTACCATTTTTTAGTCTTTGCAATATTTATACATAAAACTTGAATGACCAATATGAAATAAAAGTTTGAAAAAAAAGAAAGAAAAACGTATTTCCAGTTTAATTGACAGTTGGAATCGAAAACAATTAAATTCTTTGTTCTCGACAGTTTTGAACGTATGTAAAAAAAGAAAAGGGAATTTCGAATTCGAATGTACATACCTCTTATTTTTCAACAACGAAAAAAAGCAATATCGAGGACAATCGAAAGTTCATGTAAACAAAAAAACCTTCTGATTGGAAAAGCATGTTATAGGAACAAGGCGTAAAAATAAGGAACAATTAGACTTTGCGAGAGCCTTTGAGCGTCGTGTTCACAAGCCTACGCTTTTTTTTAAATTTCTTCCCTTCGTCTTTGTATTTCGTGTTGTCACATGAGCCGCGTGGTCTTGCAGACGGAATATTGCTGTGCGCGCGCGGATAGTGGAAGAGAAGCGAGTGATAGACTCGGGAGGACAGATTCGAAATATATCAGAATCGAACTCTCCGTCTTTCTTTTTTTGCTGCGAAACGGAACTAAAGGGAAAAAATTGTTATAGCGAGTATTGTATTCGGTAAGAATAGATGTATGTTTTAAAGTGAGAAAGATGAGGTCAAGCTGGTATAGATTTTATTGCGATATAAATATATTAGAATCTATAATTTGGAATTTGACTGACTATAGCATTTACTCATACTACTTAAACATAGTCTGGAACTATTCTTTAGTTTAGGTACAAATGAACCACTTATTCGATTGTTTCCATGTAATGCTATACCAATATCGTGCACGCAAAAACAACGGGGCTTCTTCCCAGAAGTCTAATTGATCGGCAAAGTAATATTTAATATATCGCATAACACGCAAAACGCAATCTAAAAATAATTAGATATCTAAACTAAAAGCAACCAGGTAATTCTTAAAATAACAATTTTACCGCAGGAAAATACACATTTACACAAAAGAAAGAGAATCCAAACAAAAGCTTGCACATCACGTTTTTCTTCTGCGCGAGCAAAATACGCGTCTAGAGTAAAATAAACAGACGGCGAGCGATAGACGGAATAAGAGGAAATGTGTGTATGCGTGCGCGCATGTGTATGTGTGTGTGTGTGTCAGATATATTAAAAGGAATAAAAGACATGATCGAGGGACAGGAGAGCATTCCCTTTTCTCTATATGTGACACTTATAATTAAGTTGGTAGGGGATTTTGCTGTGTATTTTTCCTTCGCATGAAATTTTGATGAATTATATATGCTCAATTGTCGTGTTTCTTCATGTAAGCAGAACATCTATGATACCATCTCTCCTGTGTTCTTGAAAAATTCCGCTGATTATGATTAAAGTTTACTTAACATCGTAAAACTGTATGGCTATGTAAATTTTCAATGGGTGTCCTCAGTGCTACTTTACTACTACTACTACTACACTATTATTACTATTTGTTAAGTTGGTCGAATTTTAGATCATTATTTGTAAAATTGCAGTTGTAACTTATTTTTTATCGTCTTTGATTCGTACTAGATATATTCATGTTACATATTGAAATATTTCACAATATGGAAGTTACACACGCGCACGCGCGCTCGCACACACACGTTTACATTGAATGCAAGTAAACGTTAGAGTGTAGAAAAAAAGATTTACAAGATTTACTCGTAAGATTGAATTTTTCTTTTTTTTCTACACGGAACGCCACAAAAAATATAAAATCGTAAGAGTTACGTTCACGTGAAAGGAACGCTGGTGCTGTAGCTGCTGGCGCGAAATTTTCACGCGACGTGATATATTACCTGATACGATGCATCTGAAATTCCAGCTTTCACGGTATAAGCTTCAACTTTTGGTTTTATTATTTTATATGCGGTCATTGATTTTCCTGCGAATTATATATGAACGATATTATCAGTTTACAATTTAGGAATAGGTTTTATAAGAAAATAACTGACGGAACTAGAAGTTTATAATATTAACAAGTTTTTTTTTATTGATGAATTTTCCTTTTTACTGATTTGCGGAATTGGGATTGCTTGCTCCTATAGAAATCCAACATTATTTTTATATTTTTAATTACAATGGAACTTTCATTTCCAACAAGTATTAAAAACAAAGAAACCTTTTACACAAGAAAAATATCAGTTATAATAATTTAAATTTAAATTATTCTTGCAATTGACTTTAAGAAATAATTTACCAATGGTACTGGTAAATTACTGAAATCCATTACTTCCTTTTTTTACAATATGATACAACTCACTTGTATATTTGTCTTTACTTTCACTGATGTACATTAATCCCACCAATCAATGGTGCATAAATTAAATTGCTATCTATTTACCATTAAAGATACAATTCAATCCAGTTTATGGTTCATGTTATTCATTATTTCTTTAAGAAAATCTGTACTAGATGGTGCAGTTGTATAAAGATTTCCTAAAATGAATATTAAAATTAAATAATTAAAGGTCGAACAAAATGAACTATATATATAAGTACTTATTTTACCAATGAATTGTTTCGTATCATTGTCAGATGTAATTATTTTACAATTCTTCTTTTGTTCAACTTTAAATCCCACACAACGGAAACGTTCATCTGTTTTATAGAGAACACTATTTTTGTGTGTATTCAAATAAGGTTGTCCACTAAAAGGATTTATAAAGTCTGCCCAGTAACCACACATTTTAAGTTTTTTACAAATGTCAGATGCAGCAAGGACAAACTATAAAATAAGGTTTGAATTAATTATATATTCAAGTAGGTTGTTATTTATACAAGATGACTTACATATTGCGCAAACTTTTCTGTTTCTATTTCTTTGCTCCATCTGGACATTTTACTATTTGATTTCTGACAGATTGTAACTATAGTTAATTGAGGTGAAGTTACTTCAAGGCAGTTTGGAAAAAGCTCTAAAATTCCTTTCCTCAGTAGCGTTGGGCACTCCTGAGCTGTACAGTGTAGTATTGAAAATATTTCATCCTTCTTTTCCTCAACATTGATATTTCTTTGTTTGTTTTTAAGAAAATCTAAATCTTCTAACTCATTTGGCACAACAACTGAACGTACTTCGACATGGGCAGTGGTTGATGCATCTAACCAGCCTGGCCCTATACTCCCAGGAAGATAGAAACGGAAGCCTCTTGGAGTAAGAAGCTCCCAGTTCGGGTCAACTCCAAAGACATGGTTGTCAAAGTCTATAAAAATATAATAAGGATTTTATGTTAAACATTTTACATTCAATGAATTTTTGGTAAATGTGTAAGACTTATTTTTGACTAATCTAGAATCAATATTTATTTATTTATTTTAGAATATTTTGAAAAAACTATATATATTCATATACACACACATATGCACAAAGATTTTATATTAATAGTGTATGTTCAACTATATGCAACAAAATAAGTACTTGCACAACATTTATTTTTACTTCTCAATGCAACTATGCATTAGACTTAAATAAATAAGCAAATAGTGACACTTGTTTACACTGAATAACTGTACATGAAAACTAAAGAAAAATAGGTTTGTGCATGAAAAGAAATCAATCATTACTAACCATCAAGAGCATCATCTCTTGATTGAACAACTTTATAGGAACTTGTATTTTTGTCACTGCGTCGAGAGTATTTCGCCTTGGAAATGAATCTGACTGAAGATATGTAATTCTTGTGAATATTGCGTATACAAAACATCTGAAAATGAACGTAAAAAATACAAAGGTTAAGTTTACAAGCTTTGGTTTTAAAGTAGTAGAATATACTGCTGAAATTCGCCATGAATTGTTGAACACAAGTGAAATTAACTCACAATTAGACAGCAAATTTACATGCTGAAATAAACACTTTTAGCGGGGTGTCTTGCGACGAATTCCCTGCAAGAGGGAATTATGTTGCTTAGCTTGGCTCAGCCAAGGAACTAACACTGTCGATTGTCGTGTCGTCGTCGTCGATCGTCATCACAGGCATGAGGAAATTCGATGCAGTTAATGCATAAGTGGAGGATATTATAGAGCGATCTTAATCGGATTATAATTGTTAGAATGTTCTTACAATTCCTTTTTAAAAATATTAAAATCTCGATTAACTTTCTGAAAACAAGATTATACTTACAATATTTAAAACGTATAATATTAAATAATTATAAACTATTAAAATTAATGAATAAACTAAAGCAGTTTCAATTTTACGATTAAAAATTATTTTGTAAAAGAATAAGAAAAATAATTTAACAAAAATAAATCGGTAAAAGTGGAAGTATTTTTATTAAATAAAAAATTGACGTAGCAGACGAAAAATCATATTTCATATAATATGAGCATGGTTCATTATTATACGAGCATCGATAATGAATAATGATGTATGTCTACCTTAGATAAAACAGGAATCTCTATCGGTAATCAACCTTTTATTCATGATCATGCAATGTGTGTGTGTTTCATATATTAATCTACTGTTGCGTAGGCGTATATATAGTCATTGTTATCACCAATAACCTCTGTAGTATATGAATAACTGTTGAATACATTGAAAATTTATATATTTATATGAATATTGTTTAAAACAATTATTATAATAACTTAATTCATATTTAAAATAAATGTAAAATTTTATTTAAAGAACTCTTAATATATATTCTTTAGATTTATTATGTCATTAAAGAACATTTAAAATAATTATTTTTAAGACACTTCATGATTTTCATAATATATTATTCAATAAAAGTTATATTTTATCTTAATTATCACAATCATAATTATTAGTACTTAATAAATGATTTTTATTACTAATAATTATTACGATTTTTACCAAATAATAAATATAAGAGAGGCAGTAAGTAAACAAACGGATTATAAACATTTATTTACTTAACGTCCGGACATAATGTTATGTAATATTGAAATAATTAATTTTTCAACAGACCACGCAGAAAATTTAATTTTGCTGTACACTCGTCGAAAAACGTGCGCTTAAATTTATGCTTTTCATGCATTTTTTTTATATGTAAAATAGAGTGGATGTTCTAATTACCGGCAGGTCACAAAAAATATATATACACAAAATAAAAAGGTTTATAATTTCAATGTTTCTGAGAATAAAAAAAATATTGTTGCATTTTTAAATACATATATTTATAAAGTACAAAACAATGTAAAAATAAAAAAAATTTCGAAACACATTAAATAGATCGTGAAATAAAACAATTGTTAACCAAATCGAGTCGGAGTTCTGACCGTACAAGTCCTGATCTGACTCGGCGGTTACCCGCACCACGCGTGCCTTCTTTTTTCTTTATATACAATTTTCCTGTTACCAGACCAGTGTTATAGTGTGTTACCATTTACCAAAATGTCTCTCCTGTGCATTTTCTCGCCATCCCACAGTCATTCCGAAATTATTGTCGAGTGAGTGTGGCGACTGCGTAACCGAGACTCGCCTAGTCGCCTTTGCCTCGCAACAGTCAGCTCTAGCGCTGTTGAACGTTGGCAACTGGGTTGGCGTAACGGCGAACGGCGTACAACGTAACTAGTAATCTCGAAGAAAGATCGAGAGGGCGCCAGAGGTATTTGATGGAAAGTTCGTGACTAGTAGCGCTGTGCTGCTAATGCTTCGTATATTCTTGCAGGCTGCCGCCATGACAGCTGATTGCTTCCTGGTCGCTTGACGTTTTGTCTCAGCGAAGACATTACACGGATCGCTTGCGAGCGGAACATGACATTAAGTGAATGCAACTACAACAAATGGCAGACTCATTCTTCGGATTCGACACAAGCCTCGGCGTAAGTATCTTATTGAGAAATTTTTAAAACGATGAGTAAGACTTGCCGTCCGGCAACCATCACATCGTTCCGCCTACGTATGTACTTGAGGAAATACACGCCCCGTACCCTCGACTTATTTTTTAGTGCTTCTAGTCAACCGCGATTAAGAATCGATAATGATTTAACGTTCGATTTTTAAATTTTTCATTTTTTTCAGTTACGTTGATCTGCGTTATCGGCCAATGCCCCTTTTACACTTTGACGGACTTTCGAATCTGGCTTGTTAATATATACTTTCGTTGTGATTCAACGGCCAGAACATGATACACCGACATCGAGGAATTTGCCTGTTTTGATTATTTGACACAATCGAGATTCATTGTCTATGCTAACGGTCGAGTTACGATGATGATTTTTCACCTGTTTCATGCCCCTTTATCGCTGATAAATATGCATTATTATGTCGGTACTTTCTTTTCTAGAACTTTACCTATCTGTCCGTGATTTTCTACATACATCGTTATCCTTTACTCATGTCCACAATAATATTTAATGTTTACGATACTCGAGCGCGAGAAAGCCATTATGTAGCTTCATCATAAACATAAAGATAAAGACTCAGTTAATTCGTTACTGTTAATAATAATAGCTGTTAACGACATCGCTCTGCCTTCAGGAAACGGATAGACGTTATCTATTGCTGTTTTATGTTTCTTTTTATTTTCACATTCAAAATTTGACAATTTAAATTTGTGATTTTTACAATATAAGTATAAATGATACTTTTAAACGGCAAAATATCTATCATGAATATTGAAAAATTCCTTGTATTTTCTGAATAAATATTCATATTAGAAATTTTTAGGTAAAAAATTTATTAAACTATTTTTGATTGTGCGTGTTATGTTGGAAATACAGGCTGCCTTGGATGATGGGTTAGATTGTTTAGAGGATGAAGATTTAGAAGAAAACTATGATGCATTGAATGATGAAACTTTTGGCTCTGAAGCTAATACTGGTGATTGGGAGCAAGATCATGAAAAGCTAGCTCAAATCACAGAATCTAGTAGACCTCGTTACAGAAATGATAACAGCAAAGTAAGTTCTCACAGTTTTCAAATAACTTTAAAATTCTGACTAAATACTAATTTTTCATATGTGACATAGAGTGAATCAGAAATAGATGTGGAGAAAAGTCTTTCTCATTTAGTTCTCGATGAGAAGGAGGTTACTATTCCTCGACCTGGTGTTTGGGACAGTCCAAATTTTGCAATACCGCCAACTCAAATTGTAAAACCTTCGTTGTCAGCTCTCAAAAATGCCTGTACAGTGGAAGAATTGGAAAGAGGACTTATCACAAATCGCCCTCCACCCGGTCTTGTAAAACCACCAGGATCCCCACATCAACCACCAGCAAGCACTAGCGCTCAAAATTTATTTCTTAATTCAATAACATCTGCAGAAAAATTACATCAAACCAATGGCACTGGACCAACCCAAAATCAGTTTTCACTTATAGCTCCAATTCTTAAATTGCCACCCCCACAACATTTAAATCTTCAAAATGTTAGGTCGATACCAAGTAAGCAATATTGTTGTAAATTAAATTAATTGATTCTTAAAATGACAATTTTAGAGAGATATTTAAAAATGATTAGTTTATTTATATGAATAATTATTTTTCAGATGCACCTGGAAATGTTCTTAGATATTCATTGCCATTACCTCACCTAATTATACCTCCTGGTCAGAGACAACCTTCTCTTCATGGCAATTTCTCATTTCATAATTTTCCAGTAAGATTTATATTGATAATAATTTATATAACTAAACATCGTTCAACAATAATTGAATATTTTATTGTAGTCATTAAAATATCTGTTTATAAATTATATTATCTACAGCCCACAGGAAATTCAGGCATGGGTCCATTACCTTTTGGTATGAGACCAGATCATCCACTAATACCACCATATCCTAACAATCAGCAGCAGATGAATCAGCACATGCACATGGCAAATCAACGCAATCAAAACAAACAATTCAACGATCGTTCAGATAATCATCATCAACCATTTTTCAGAAATAATCAATTTCACCATCAAAATTATAATCATATGAATAGATTTTTTGGCAATCAAGGTTTTGGGCATCCAATGCATCAAGTGATACATCATCCTGGTCATATAATGAGCAATGGAATTGGACCATCAGGAGAACTTGATGAATATGCGGGGCTGATGAATAATAGAGAAAAGCAATGGTTGAATAATATACAGTTGTTGCAGTTGAATACTAACCAACCTTACATTGATGATTATTATTATACAGTGTTTTGTGACAGACAGAATAAGAAAAATGAGATTAAAAATCTCAATAAAAATAGAAAGATGAATAACAACAAAGGAAATGGTAATAATAACAACAATGGCTTTCACAAAGATCCAAGGTAAGTTTTAAATATGTATTACAAATCAAAAAGATTTTTCTAAAATTTGATTATTGTTCTTTTAGGGATAACAAGGAACAGTCTACGTTTACCAAAGCTACTACACCAATGCAATTTGAAAATTCTCTGGGAAAATTACAGTACAGTAGTGTCACTGCTCCAAGGAAAATTATTGATATGGATGTTGTACCTAACAGTGATCCTCAACAAGCTTCCACAATTCAACAAAAAGATACTAAAAAAACTCGACAACTTCTTCTGGAAATTGAGAGGGTATGTATTTTTAAAATATTTTATATATGTATATAGAATATTGTATTATAAATGTCAGTTTTGATTTGTTTTATGGATTTTAATAAAAATCATTATTGTTTAGCTTTATTTACTACTTTTGAAACTTGAGGATAAAACAAATCCATTAGCCATAATAGCTGAACAACAACGCGAACAACAACAAAGAGAACAACTGTTACAACAACATCAAGAAAGTGGTGAACCACTGCCCGAACTCGAGCGTAGGGATTTAGTAAAAGAAAAGGAAGAATTGACTGTATCAATAATGACTTCTCTTTTACAACTTGCACAAGACGATAAACTTACGAGTCTTTTGAGTATACGTAAGGGAAAAGTAAGTTAACCGCCAATCAGCGAAATAAAAACTTTTAATGTAGGACACTCTACTTTTTTTTTTCTTCTAGACGTTATTCCTGCGCTTTTTACCATTCATGAATACAAAGGAGTATAGAGATAAACTGACTGAATTGTGGCGTGCTGTTATCAAGGGTTTAGCCGTGATCGGTAGAAGAGATTCTAACGTGCTGACAAATTATTACGCTGAATTTTACAAGTGGGCGGAAGAAAATTGTATAAAACCATTTGCCATTACTAATAATTGGTCAATCTGGATACCAATGGCTTCATTAGTCATAGAGTTTATTGAGTCTACGAACCAACCATCCAAAACTAATAGCATAGCGTTTGCACTTTCAAGCAAGGTAATTATTTTCTTTTCCCCATTAAAAATTTGAATGGTACAGATGTGCAACAATGATATCCATTTTAGTTCGGAATATCAGTGTTAGCTCTGCTGATAAAGTACGGCCGACAGATATCGCCTCTGAATTCGACGAAATGGGATCAATTCCTGAAAGCCATCGCAGAGTCAATAGGCAGTAGTTCGCCAGTGGTATCGCCTTGTGAGATTTTAGATAAAAAAGTCCTTGAATCTCACTTAAGATCAAGCCTCATCGTCTCCCCGCAACATTTGGCGGCATTCGAGCTCTTTTTTACCGAGGCTAATCCAACGCGATAAAACTACCTACCTAAAACACATTTACGCAACTTAATACGTATACCTTTCACTAGTTCTTTAATTACCGATATATTTGTCATATCTATTATCTCTTCTTGCTTCCAGTGAGACACTTTCTTTTTTTTACAATGTTTAACGACGACTTTTGCGATTCGCAATAATATGTGCATAGATTTTCGGTGAATATAGGTGGACGTTTTATTTGATTCTGTCATTTTTGCCAAGTCAATATGATGACTTTAAAGTAATATTTTTTATTTAATATGAGCGTAAGCATTTTTACTAATGATGTAGTAATATAACTTACTGTAATTATCTGCCATTTCAGCTTCATTTTGTAAATTTAACAGTGAAAATGAGGTCAGTTAAAAATATTTCATTAAAAGTAGCGTAGAACGTTGTTCTTAATGTAAGGCAGAAAATAATAGACTGCTCTTAAGGAAAAAAGTAGTACATTAAGATTTATAAATTACAAATTAATGTACTAATTACGAGAAATAACAACTATTTCATTTAAAGAATCTAACTGTATAGCGAAAAAACAAGTTAGTGTACATAAAATGATAATTTTATTTATTATTAACAAAATGTACGACAGAGTTAAATGAAAGCGTCCCCAGTATCGAAGTAAGTCTCTTTACGTTTTATAAATCACAGTGCATCAAGAGCTTTTTTCATGCTCTTAAAGAATAAAATGATGATCTTAACCTTGCAAAAAAGTAAAAAAGGAGTTAGAGAGAAATCACTTTTACGAGTGTAATATCGTATTTGTGAGTAGACACATTTTTTGCAACGTCCAGCGAGAAGATAAAGAGCTCGTTAAAAACGATTATCGTTAAAGGAAGTTTTTTTCATACCCTGGTCTCTTTGTCTTTTCGTGCGACCCTTGTTCTTTATTTATACTTTTTTATCATGTCAATCTATATTAAAATAATTCATACTGTTTATAATTTATAAATCTAAGAGAGAAAAAAACGTCATTAACCGCAGTGTTCACATGATTTATAGGAAAAGTCAATGAAAGACACGCATCGTTAATAGTGCATCCACACATCATTTATGCAGACGTATATAGTAAATAAAAAAAGAGTAGTATCAATCGTTTTCATATTCGTTTGAAACTTAAAAGTGATCATAAGATTTTAAGATTTTTGTATATCTGTAAAGACCTTTGTTCTCTGATGGAAGAAAACACTCTATGAAGTATCGTTTTTTGAAAATTCCACATTGATTATTCATATAATTATCGCGTGCTTTATGCATTTATTCAGATTTCTTGGTATACATGAGCCTTTCGAATTTTTCTTAAAAGAAAGGTTTAGCAATGATAAAACGTTAAACGTACACTATAATCGTTTTGAAACCCACTTGTGATGACTTATTATGTTGTAGAAGAAGCGAAGTAACATAATTTTTTCTGGCCTTTGTCAAGGGAGTTGCGGAAATATGTTTAGCCAGTCTATTCAAGTTCAGAAAAAAATTTAATTGAGAATTTGTACATTTCTTTACGTTGTTTTAACAAAATAATTGTTGAAATAATAACAAAATATTGTCCGAAGAATTCATATGTTTACACTCTTACGGACATTATATATTGTGTAGCAAAGAGTAAAAAAATTCTGCGGAATGACTTTCTGGATAATTCAATGCTTTCGCAGTCCCTTGCAAAATATACTTGTAATGTATTGTAATGTATGCTTAAACAAAGATAAAGAAATGTTGGTTTTTTTGTTACATATAGAAGCGTATATTTGTGCTACAGCATAAGAGACTGCAGCAAAGAGGAAAAAATTTTCATTCGTTTTTCAAACAAAAAAGGTAAAATAAACGCAAGAAGCGTATGAGACGAGAAAAAAACAATTTAAAAGAATCTAATGTATGTACCTATGTAAGTATGTCTAGCATGTATATAGCCACGAGTGAAGGACGCGATCCGATATATTATATATTTCTTATGTATCGATGACAGTAAGACGTATGCGAAAAATTTGACAAAAATTTGCATCTAATATGGGTAATGGTGTTAAGGAGGCACTGTGTCTCGTAAATCTTATAATATTATGTTTAACTGTAAAATGTAACCTTTAATTTCTAATTCATACCAATTTTTTCTGTTATTTACAACTTCCTTTTGATTCTCGTGACGTCGATTATTTGTGAGTTCTCTGAAAAAAAAAAAAATACAGTATAATAAATCATGCGAGTTTACTGTATTTATATAGAAAAACAAAGTGAAGCAAAGTCGTGACTATGTATAGAAACCTAAAAACGACTCATTTAAATAATTCATATCTATGCCACTTCTCATCGATAATTGATATGAGTGTCATTACAATTTTGTTATTAATTCCTACAATTATCGTGAGAAAAAATATCTCTATATTCATCTTCATAATATAATGTTAAGTAAAAACTAAAGATTACTATTATTACGTTATTAATAATGTGAATGGAAAAATAGCCTCTAATTTTTTACCATTACACGTCTTCAAAATTTAATGTTCGAAGCTTCATTTGTTTATCTATAAATTGTTATATTTTTTTAACTCGTAAGCGCATGAAGCGTGTAAAAAATAAAGAAAAAAGTCTTGTGAAATAATTGAATTTTCTTTGTCATATCACTAAATAATAGATTATTTCTTTCCAATTTATTCAGACAGCCCAAAATAAGGGGTTCAAATATTAATACTAAATTTCCAAAATAAAACGTAAATACAAATAGCTAATTAAGATTTATAAATAAATTAAACTACGACGTACGATTCACGAGGCTGTTGGTTAATGTTACAACAACAATAAGATAAAGCTACGATCGAATGCAAATTAACAGTACATGTATTCAATTTTTTATAGAATGTGTATAAGTGTACAGATGTCGATAAATATTTACCATCAGAAAGTTAAATTGTAAGATTTTCACAAAAGTTATTGTTATAAAGTCTCGTGAATTTCGATAAATAAAATTGGAGAAGTTGGGTTCTTTTTTAAACAACATAAATCTTATGACTAACATTTTTACGCGAAGCGTTTTTTGCGCATTTTTTACGTTCTAGTGAGGAATAAAATAATTTACACCCATATAAAGAGATGAAAATTGAATAGGTCTTTTAAGATTCATAAATTTTTATGTTTGTTCTTCCGAATTGTTATAGAGTTAACGGATCTTTTCAATTGTAACAGAAATTATTTAAATATATTAGTTTTTATTAACGTATCGCAAAATCTGCTCGTCTTTTAGAGAAATTTTCCTACAAATGAGAGATAAATGAAGGAGTAATGAAATGAAATCGTTTAATTTTTATTTTCCTAAAATAATTTTATTTCACTTTCGCCAAATATCATACAACCACATTTGATGAAACTCCCAATTAAAGGTGGTACAACTTGTGAAAGTAGTTGAATGAAGTTCTGTACGTAGATTTTTAATTGAAACAAATAATAAACTTGACATAATTCTTTTTGTGCAACGCTCGCGTAGGCACTACAACGTTTAAGCATCATTTTTTTAAGAAGACGCAAGAATTTATGTCTCGACATTTGACTTTTATACGTGTGATATCCATAAATTTTATACTTTCTTCGACATAGCCTACCAACTTATATGTCGCAATAGCGTTTAATATTTTTTGTAAGTTTTTTTCCTTGTTTTGTTATACCTACTCAACAATACAATACTTGTAATATTTATAACTCCATGATTCAAGCATTGTTTTTTTAAATTATTTTCTTTGTATTACACATAAGTTGTAAAAGTTTTCAACTCGTTTTTTGGTATTTTTTAAACGCTTTTCGATTTCGAGTTTTGTTAGGAGCATTTGGGTGGTGATGCAACAGTAATATACTACGTATGTGCTTGTTTTTTTAATACATAGTTTTTTTGTATCTGTATGTAATTAATATATTTTTCAGCATTTCACGTCTAAATGACAAAATCTAATAATTTTGGTTTTTTAGTTTCGGAAAACTTTTAAAATCGTATACTAGCCATTTTTCTTCGGCTTGTAAATGTATGTCCTTGCTTATAACTTTTTTCGTGTGATTTTTAATAAATTACTAATAAAAAAGTACAAATTTTATGGAACTTCTAATTTATAACATTACTTAATAAATTTTTTACCGCAAACATTTTTCATTTATTACGAATCGTTAAAAATAGTTTCACGTACTGCATGTGAAAAAAAAGCATTAAATACGTTGTGATCTAATCATAATATTACTAATGGAAATTCAAATTTACCAGGCTTATAAAACATGAATTTCCTAAATAGGTAACTTATGAAAATGAAATAGTTGAATTGTCTTATTTCACGACGTGAAACACGATTAAAAATGATTTAACTTTAGAAATTCTGGAAGAATAAGTGCGCTCAAATAGAATTTCCGGAAATCGCCTTTCCACCTACAAAATTTTTTGAACACTGTACTTCAATTAATAATATCAAAGATGATCACCTTCGAAAACTGAAAAAAAAATGTAAAAGGCTGGAATAAAATAATATTTGACAATAGTACCTAAAGTAAAATTGTAAAAAAAACTCGCTTAAAAGCAATCGCCTTATACAACGAATTTTCGTTAAATTTTTTCAATACACATCTAAACGGAAACCATTGCCTATATACCTTTCAACATGATTTATCGGACGGGAATATAACGTGTTTTTGTTTGTTTATGTTTTTGCTCACTCCATTATATCGAGACAAAGCTCCATTTTATTCGTTGAGCTGTCGACTTCTTTTTATTTTATTTCATTTATTGTTTTCCTATTCTGTCCCTTTATCTCCGTCGTCGTTTTTTTCTTTTATTGATTTGTTTCTTTTCATTACGTGTAAAAAATATTTATATACATCTAAATATAAGATATACTCTGCGTGCGCGCGTTCTGCGAGCGCACCTCACATTTATACGTATATTTTTCCAGGTAGAATGCCTTTATTATTTTATTTTCTTTCTTTTTATGGCGAGGTATTTTAAGTCAACGCAATCGTCTTCGTTTCGCTTATTACATTGCACGAAGAGATCTATACTTAAAAATAAAAGTTTTCGGTACAAAGCGCCTAATGTTCTGTCCCGACAAACAATCGTGCATCAGAGTTAAATGAAAAGCAGGCATCGTGATCTATATTGCAGTTTGAATATTGCTTTCACAAGGCAGCTTCTTCAGAAAATATTTCTTTTATAGAAGTAAGATAAAGAATTCCAGGGCTCTGTACCTTCGATAATAACAACGTAATTTCACAGAAGATACAATAATGCACGTAATACATTTGGCAATCGTTATTATTCATTAATTTGTGTGTTGGCACTGCTTTTAGTGCTAATTTGAATACAAGTCGATATTTATCAAATTCGAATTCGTCACAATACTTAGAATGAAGGAAAAAAGAGATCCACTACTGAACATTTGACGCCATAACATTTTCATTATATAATTGGCATTGACTCTCGCACTAGAGATTAAGCACACGATTAGTTGGAACAACGCTTTTGTTTTCTGTCAACCCTAAGGATGTGCGATAATCGTCTAATTTATCATTAATTTATTTTTTCAACGCGAAGAACTCGTTAAAACTATTTTTACTGTGAAAGTTTTAACTAACGGCAGTAGATTCACGTGCATGTTTATAAGAAGGTATAGCTTTTGTTTCAATATATTTTTTAAATCGCTTATGATTTCATCACTGATTGTTCAATTAATTTTATCCTACACGTTTTCCTTTTTATCGTTCGAGATCGTTGAAGTTACTTGACAAGTTGACATGCAACGATAAGAGAAAAGTACTCGGAACAAAAATGATATTGCAAGTAAAATAACAGAAAGTCAGAATCAGTCAAAGTTTATAGAGAACGAAACGTAGAGGGCAGGGTTTGTGATGAATTCGCTCAGACGCTACTCGTCGCGTGGCAGTCCTCGAGGGTTGCAAGGCTGCTGGCCCTGAGCGAGGCAAGGCTCAAGGAACTGTGATTCAGCGGGTTGATGTCATGGCTGTCGTCGCAGTGTAGGTAGAGTCTTGAGCTCACCGACTTATGGCAGTCTGGGCAGAGGCGCTTCTTCTTCTTGTCACGCTTCTTTAAAATGTCAAGCGCGCACCTGCACGACAATTTCATTGATATTACTTCAATTCTGTTCCTTATAATGGCTGGCAATTTATAAAGCGCGCTGAACTTTATTTGAAAATAAATGCGTCAATTAAAGTAGAATTGTTTCACGTATTTTTTACATTGTTCAATCTTTTTCGAAGTATAATGAATTAATATCATTTGCACGAATAAAATCCAATTTCAGGCAAAAATGTGCAAGGGATACATATTCCAAATTAAAATCTCATTCCTATGTGCGAGTGAAGTTAATTCAATGTTGTTACTATTGTTTCGAATATTTTTGAACGCTATCTGAAGCACAGTGAGCAATAAAAACTATGCCCTGTAGGCGACCACAGTCGTTAACTGCAATTTTCCAAGGAAAAAAATGAACGTATCAATTTTGAAATTGTCACTTGTTGAACTCTCGAAGAAAATTAACAATACTTGTTTTATAATCGTTTTATAGCAAGTTAGTTATAGAAAGTGGTAATAAATCAATGGAAAATTAAGTAAAAGTGAACTCACGAAATGCATCTATGTTTGTGAAAATTTAAATAGAAACACAGTTTTTTTATTTTACAATGTAATCAAAGTTCATATATGTTCTGTATGTTATAGAATATATAATACTTAATAGGGGATTTATGGTTTTGGTTTGCGCGATCTACGAACTTAGTTACTTATTCGATAGCATAAACGAATATACATGATCGTATATTAAATTAGTTGTGGCGTAATTTCGCAAAAGTTCTCAATATAAATTTTAACAATTGTAACTATAATAATGGTAATCAATAAACTCAATGCAAGTAACTGCTGTTCAATCACTCGGCGTGGATTTGTGGATTTATCGAACAGTAGATGAAAAATATAACTTACCTGGCGTGCAATATGTGGGAGCAGGGTAATGCTTCAAGGGAGTCGGGCTCGAGGCCAAAGGGTTCGCAGCAACTGCCGCAACGTAGCTCTAGGTCTTCTTCGAGCGTGGCGGCCGCTCGCTCAAAGTGAGCTTTCTGATCTTCGTCGCCGAGCGAACCGTAAATACGTGATAGACGACCACGTACTGTCTTCATCAGCAGCTAACCATTCCAAAACCATATTTTTGTTAAATGACTTTGAATGGCACTTAAAATGACTCGATATAGTAATGCAAAATTGTGAACCAATAACTAAAATCGACAATTTTTCTCAAGAGTCTGTAATTTAAAGTGAAGATTCAATCGCTTCTAAATTCGAATCAGAGAAGATTAAAAGTAGAGCGCTCATTATCGTCAAAAATAGTAACTTGTTAAAGACTTTTGAACAATTGTTAGCATGAAAATGGCTTATGTAAAAAAAAACAAAATCCGAGATAAAAAAAATGCCGAACTACCAAATTTACAATGGTAAAGAAAGAAAAAAAATGCTTTGATCCGATAATCCTCGGGACAATACAAAACAAAATCAGTATATGCATCTCCAGTAAGATATGGATATTACTCACGCAACACCTTAAAAAACCAGTGAGCAATTCTCACATTAACGAGTTAGCAAGTTAATGCACATGTACAACTGTACGAAAAGAACGACGGGGAGAGAGAATTCACGTTTCACGTAATCAAGTTCGCTCGATAAAGTAGCACTTTGGCATTCCTCTCCCCGCCCTTTCGCAAGATTAAGACAGCTACTTACGAAGGTCCATATATTTTTGTCTGCTCGAGAGAAAGTTAATCCCCAACGCGAGTCTCGAGCCTCGAGCACACCCGAAAAAAATGAAGAAGAAGAATCCAATCTCGACTGTAGATCTTCTTTAATGCGTCTACTGTTGTTTACTTTGAGCCATCATAATTTACGTTTACTTTTTGTAATAACGATCTTTCCCTTTTCCGTCGACAATACATTGCCATTTGTAAAAATTTACGTGTCAGTTTACCACGAAACATTTTTTTCAATAAATTTACCACCTGCACTTCATCAAATTTTATTCCGTGCGCGTAAAACACATTTAATCTCGCTCGCGAGGCTTATCTTGCCTTTTATAAAATATGAATTTTTCGACGCATGTAGGATCGATTTTTATTTATCACAAAAAAAAGGAGAAAACGAGGTCACATCGTATAGATTTATAGCAAATGAGTTTTACTGAAGAGATTTCTATCCTATTCTTTCTTCAATATTTTCCTTGCCAGAGAGAATATACACAAAATAATCAGCGTTGCATTTGAAATTCAAAACTTAATTTTATTATAGGTCGAGTCGAATGAACAAGTATATCCGCGGGAATTTATCGATACACGGCTCGATCGAAGTAAGGCAAACTGCATTGAAGGCTCTTACAAATATTTTAGACCTTATAATTAGTCGACTTCAACGGAGCACTTTCGTTAGCCGTCGATCAATTAATTTATCTCGAAAGTTAACGACCTGATGAACAAGAATACGTCGTGTACATACCGTCGCTAAAACCGTTTCCACTTAGCGCGCAGATACGTCAATAAACAAGAGCTTGTTTAATTGTCGAAAGCTCATTTGAGCAGCCTCACCTTAGCACCCACAGAACTAGCGACCTCGTGTAGCCTGGTGTTAAACTCGAGTGGCTTGCAGTTGCATATCTTGTGTTGGAGTCTGAGTGCCTCGAGGCAGCGCGCTGCCCCGTCCATGGCCTCCATCTGACAGAGTCGGTCGCCAGTTGCCGCCGCCGAGGTCATCGCGCTCTCGTACTGACGGAATGCTTTCTATCAACAACAATAGACATGCAGACAGGATCGTTAAATCTTCGCCTGCTGCATTGCCGAGTGGCTCGACGAGAGCTATGGACCATTTGCCCTTTCGATGGCTGCTTGAATTATGTAGTGTTTCATTTGCGTGACCAAATTGTGAGCGTTATCGATCATTCCGTGGAGCTCTCAGCGAGGACAATAACAATCCACGTAACTTCTCGATCTCGTTCATTGAAATTATGTCATCTACGCGTCGCATTAATCGCAGAAAAGATAAACTGGAATCTAGAACATTGCCAGCACCGTCATTGCGTTATAAATGTAAAATAACGACGAGAGAGTTTCGAAAACTCGCAACTTCCATCTCATCTGCACGCACAGGAGGAGAATTCTCTCGAGGCAATTAAATCCAAAGTAATTGAAAGCAAACATTAATCAGCTAAGCGTTGCCAAAGTTTTTAATTTACTTTGGGAAATTCTGCCGTCGCCGCGATGAACGAGAAGAAAGCTAAAAGTTAAATAACTCACGCTAATTTCCGATTGACGCCTGTAAATGTCTCCCATTATCCTGATGCTACGGGCGTAACTTGCTTGGTCGCCCGACACCAGGGACAGTCGCGTCGCTTCCTGCATAGAAGAGCAACGGATTATTATAAGGACAAAGCGTCCTGTGCACGAGGCAGCTTGATGTCCACATAAACTGTGTATGCGAAAATGACAGCGCATTATTTGTTATCCTCTGTACCGTTGACATTTCTGCACCATCCGCGTGTGCTTTTGCTTTAAGAATACTATTTTATAAATATTTTTCGAGAAAAAGAAAACTCGGCTTATCTCGGAAAATACGAACGATTCGAGCTTAATTAGACTCTTTTGAATATATTAGCTTTATAATTAAGATTTTGTTATTTTATTTTTTTGAAAAACAACGTTCAAAAAGTTATTATGTTAAGCAAATAATAGAACTTTACCAGAAGAAACTCATTATCAAATAATGCGATTATATTACGTCAGGGAAAATTCGTATCAAAAATTAAAAGAGAAAAGGAAAAATCTTTTCATTTTAGAAAACAAAATCACGAAGCAGCAGAAGATAAACGGAATTTTCAATTTGTAAATTAAACGAGCTTCTATCTCTCTCACTCTCTCTCTCTCTTTCTCTCTCTCTCTCTCTCTTTCTCTCTCTCTCTCTATTCTAGGTAAAAAGAAAATAAATAGCTTGCTCACACGTGAACATCCCACAAAGAAAACAAAGAAATAAAGGACTTCTATACCATGGCAGTATTATCCTCGAGTCCTCGTAAAGTTAAGTTGAGAAAAACGTGCGAATGTGGAAGAAACACTCTCGTGTAAAGATAAGACTCACCTTGCAGTAATCTTGAGCGTCGCCGACCTCGCCTTTCTTCCTCAGTGCCGCAGCCATCTGTAGCAAAGCAGCCCGATGGTGACGAGAGTTCAAGTCTCCCAGTTGGAGACTTCTCGATAAGTCGTAGGCGCGTGCGGCGTATCTGGCGCTTTTATCCGCGTCTTGTAGTCGACAGAACAGCTCGGACAACCCGACGTACACCTTGAGTAATTTCAACTTTGAGAAATGCGTTGAGCAAGAAAAAGTTAACTGCTATAATTTTCGAACCGAATGTGAAATCAAAAAATTAAAACATTAATTGTCCTTAAAAAGTTGAAAGCTGATCCGGTTAGCTCAGAGCTTGTTCTTTATTAACTTTATTAAAAAAAATTAATGAATTTTGACAGAAAGCTTTTAATTCCTGGGACGAGTAGTACAAGTGCAAGTTTAGTCATACTTTGAGGTATATATAAGAAACGTTATTCCGAAGAAACGTGAGAGTATTTCGGCAACAACAATCTCCTAAACATATCCCGCGTCATATCTTAAGGCATGATATCTTAGCAAAGTTAAGCTAATCCTCGCGGACAAAGTTCGCTGTGCTAATGTTACACACTTATGTATACCTGTAACTCGAGCGATGGATCTTGAATGGAGTGTGCAATCTTATGGGCTCTCTGGAAGGCTTCCAGCGCCTTACAAAAGCCCGCTAGCTCTAGATGGACTCTACCTACTGTTAGATGAACTAATCCGGCAGTTGCACACTGGTCGCACTCGTTGTAAAGGCTGCGTATATGTCAAAGAAACAAGTGGCTTTTGCTTTTATTCAAGTTGCTCGTTCGTAAACTGGGTTATTGGGCGTGAGTTCATTTTTTGGCCGGTTAACTACGAATTTCGCTAGTTTCCCTTTTCGCTATGCATGTGTGTATTTCATGAACGTGTGAAACGTGGCGCTTGGCGAAATCGAAAAAGTAGAGCTTATTTTTTCAAAAGCTTGAAAGCACAAACAAATTCGATTGGTAGGAGTGATGCCAAAAATTATCTTTATTGAATTTTATACCGATGAAAAATTTTATTTAACAAAAGAGTGAAATATGTCTTCGTGTTTTTCGAAGCATTAACAACAATGCGTATTGTCAGAGTGAAATATTCAATCGAAATATCATACGAGTGAATTTTTCACAACCAACAATTTAAAAAATATATTGCTTTGTTCTAAAAATGCCCTTGAAAAAAATATAAAGCACAAAGCATGTGGCTTTGTTATGTAGAAAAGTAGACGTGAAGAGCGGCTTTGTGGGATTATTGAGTTCTCGGTAAGCGTTTAGAATTCTCGCATACGTAATTGTATAATTTTTTTATTATCTTCTAAAAGTAAATTTTTTTTCCAAAATACCTTTCGGGTAGTTCAACGCCTTTTGCCACGTAAGCAAGCGATAAGCGATGAAACAAAAAAGGAAGAATAAGCAAACATAGTAACGAACTTCGTTTGCAAGTCATACAGAGAGGCTCCGGGAACAAAGCGTCGCTCGCTCGTCGTCGAGTGTAATCTATATTCAAGAAGGCCTGCAGCTGTAAAGCCCGTTCATGCATACGTACAAGGTATAAAAGGAATTTACGACCAATAGATATTGCCGCGCGAGCAGTGTACCAGAGATGTATACGCGGCTGGATCTCTGTGCCTCTCATACCTGTGACGAGCAAAGCCAAGTGCGCGGTCGAGAGCACCAAGTCGCTCGTGTGCTCGAGCCAAGTTCAGATAGGCCTCGGCACGCATGTTCGGCGAGTCCAGCTCCTCGGAAATGCATAACTGCCGGTGACCAAAATCCACGCTGTCCCTGTTGCGGATAATTAGTGCATTACGGTTCGGATTATGGTTTCCAGATTCATTACGTTATACGTTTGGAATTCCCTCTTTTCTTTGCCGAATAAATTTAATGCGTGTGCAGTACAAAGAATAAGTAATGTCATACTCGCGAGAAATTATTACTTTTCAAAAAAAGTTTATTGAAGAAAAACACCCTGAGTCTCAAAATCCCTACCAATAAAACTTTCTTCTCTTTATATTCAAACTTTCCTCAGAAAAATTTAACGAAACACTTCTTTCGTGAACTCGCAGTGTGCGGTTTCTCCTGGATGTGCGTCTAAGAATACTGTTGATAAAAGTCCAGATATTTGCATTTGTTTTACGTGTCGAAACTTAGTAACTTCATAAAATATTTAAGTTTTCCTGTGTCGCGTTGCGACCCTACAGAAAAACCGTTATACGTGTAGCTTGCGCCGTAATAGCTACACACTTTTCAGACTTCTTAAATAATTAATGACATAGGTCCTCCACTCCGTTTGCCACCGCATCTCTTATAGCTTCAATAAATCGTCCATAATCCATCAATAAGCTCGTAAACCATACACAAAATACCCTTTGTCACTAAAACAATGTCAGCCGCGAAAGCATAACGAGCAAAATCTTTTTCATTCGCGTAAAAAAATAAAAGCCACGGGAATGAACAAAAGGATCTTGTTTTGTTTTACGGTCGAGCACTTTTACGACTAGGCCATTAAATTACGTTGTTTTTGTTACCTGTACTTGCCCCAATCCATATAGGCTTGATAGAGATATCCAAGCAAGGCGAACTTGTCCTCTTTACGCCCGATGTTAGCCAATGCGCCACGCCACTTGCGTACCGCTGCTTGCTGCTTGTGAGCACGATAAAGTTTCAAGCCCTGCTCCACCTGTAACAACGGCAGCGTATAACAACTCTCGTTCTACGTGCGCAATGGAAGAGAACATTTTTGACGATAGGTTGAGCATGAGAAACAAAGTTTGATTGCTTCGACCGTTGTAATTTGCGCAATTAAATAATCGAGTGGTTCGTCCGATGCGACTTTCAGCATTCTGAGAATACCATGCGAAAGTTAATCTTGAGTTTATCGATGTAGTCTATTTGTACTTGCTTTCGGAATGTTATCCGACCGAAGGAAGGTTACGTCTAATGCTTGTTTGTGTTTGATAAACTTCTCGAACAAACGCGTGATTTTCTTTTTCTTTATTAACCTGCCCGATTCGCAAAAAGCTTATCGATTCATTTTATTTTAATTCAACGCAAATAAGATTTTCATTTAACTGTATTTGTATCGCATTTAAAACGTTAACCCTCCCCCCCCCCCCCCCTCTCCCGGCCGACAGCTAAGGATATTTTAATCGACCCTCGAAATCTCCTTGCGTAAAATCCAATATCATTAAACGACTATTGCGACGATCGAGGAATAAAATTAAACTCGTCACTTTGAAGTTGCATTAGCGCGGATTCGAGTGCATAACACTCCATTCAAATTAACGGAATTTAATCGTTGGGTATGTATGTTAATTATTTGCATGGTCGTTAAAGAAATTGTATTTTCATTTGAGTGCCATCATCCTGTGCCCCCTGTGTATTATTTCGAAAGCGCATATCGATAACGTCAGTCCTCGTGGAAATTAATAAAACGCATCGTAGATCGAGAAGGAAAGACTCGCAATGGGTTTGTGCAATTTCGAAATGTTTGTGAAACACTCAATCGCCAGAACCTCCTCTAGCTATTGGAACATGTAGTATTCTCTTTCATCCCTGTTCTCTCTCTCTTTCTCTCTCTCTCTCTCTTTATCTCTCGTGTATTGCCTCCATATTCGAGACTAATGAATTAATTCAAGTGTACTGTCACTTGAAAAATACACGGAACGATCTCGAGTATTCATTAATCGAAGTGGAACAGCCACGTATACGTTTCGCGTCGTTTAATAATTGAGCTCAACGTTACGTATGAATATTTCACGGCGATATAACTAATTCAGGACGAATATTTTGTCATAGCAGGATAGGCTGCGTAATTGCTCGGCAGTCGTGAACAATTCAACAAGTTAAATGAATCAAGCGGTTAATGAGCTAAAGGCTGAGAGCACAAATAAAAGTGAGAACTTAAACTGACAGAATTATACCGCGAACAAAAGAGCCGAGCGCGAGAGAGAAAGACGAGACAGAGAATGAGATTCAAGCGAGCCCGGAAGGCATGAAAAGAAGAGGGAAGAATGAGAGACGCGGAGAAGAAAAAAAGGAAAGTTTTTCGTATTATTGTTCTTTTAACAACGTGCATTATTAATCTAAGCATCTCTCGCCTGTTGTTTCTTTTTCCAATGCGTAATTTACATTTTTCTCACGCCCTTCCTTCAATGGTTTGCCTACGCTTGTTTCTCAAGAATTTCTCGCACAGAAATATTTCCAACTATTCTTTTTTACAAGCGGCTTACACGATGTAGCTGGCAAATTTACAAAGGTTAGCTTAAAAGGATCCTAAGAGGAAAGAAAGGTTTTTCGATCTGAAGAAACCTTACTTAATTTAAAATTTCAAACTATGCTTCAGTTTTTAGTTATTTTATTGCTGTTGGATAATTGCCGAGAGTACTACGTGCTTGTACTAATTTCAAGTTGAACTTTTTTTATAAAAAATGTTGGCAAGAAATTAAATTAAATTCTGTCTACGAGCAGTCATAGTCTAGAAATATTTTACAAGAATTTTAGAAACATCGCATGTTTAAGAAATATGGTATTGTCTAACGAAAAGCTCTAATAAGTGTAAATGCAAACATGTACAAGTATCACCGAACAACAAGCTTTCAATCAAAATACACTAGCTTGTAAAGCTATAGATACGTGACGTATATAGATAAAAGGTCAAAAGATAACAGAGCAAAAGACTTGAACCCTCGCAGAAGCACTCGAAAATGTATCAAAGCACGACATCGTAAGCTGCTCTCTCTCTCTCTCTCTCTCTCTCTCTCTCTCTCTCTCTCTCTCTCTCTCTCTCTCCCTTCTCTTTTTCTCTTTCGAGTAACGACGAGGAGAAGCGGAAGTTTACACTTTGTGCCGTCTCAATATGCTTTTCTCACTTGAAAGTAGCTTATCCTTAACCTAGAAACCTCGTAAAAAATCATGTGCTCACGCTCACCGACCTCGCACACCTGCCAAGCACTGATTTCATTTGCCTGACAATCTCCGTTGCCGTCGCGTGTGCCCATACTGCCCAAGATAAAGCGGAAAAGCACAAGGTCGTATCGATTTACCCCTGAACTCTCTCTCTCTCTCTCTCTCTCTCAATGGAAACGAGGGTTGCTGTGTGGTCGTCAAAGCGCGATTTTTCATTTGGTATCTCATATATTTATTTCCCATGCTCGATTGGCTCTTTTATCCTATCTCTCTCTCTCTCTCTCTCTCTCTCTCTCTCTCTCTCTCTCTCTCTCTCTCTCTCTCTCTCTCTCTCTTCTAGAGCTGCATGGAACAAGGCATATGTACACATACCGTATACACGACCATTGTACACCTTGTTGGCTACAATTGGATCATTACTATATACGACCAGCTTTGCTAATTGTTGTTGGAGATTTCCGGTTTTCGTGTAGTTTTTGTTTTAGACGGAGATGCTCGTTTTCTGTTTTTATATGTGTGTGTTTTGTGTGAAATTAATTAGTGTAGTGGACGCGAGGGATAAAAAGTCGCTTAAAGGGACTTTATGCGACGAGCGTTAATTAATCAAAATGTAGGAGAGATTTAATTAAAAATACGGAGGTTTAACAGCGAGAGTGAGAAAGATTATTAAATTTATTTAATGGTATTTTCAGCAGACTACCTGGCGCTTTCAATGGGCTTGATAATGTCGTTAACATCACCGGTTAAGCGTTATTTTGCAAGAGTCATCGCTTGTGACCTAGCAAAATTTTCGGTATTAAATTACAGTAATTTACGAGTTATCAAAATATTTTAGCGATGTTTTAGGAATTATTGAATATTATAAAATAAGTGGCAATACGCGTTGAAAAGATTGATATTTTCGAATATTTGTAACTTAATTTTCAGTTTCAAACGTTTCAAATAACATGTAAAGTATTGCTATGATCTAATTAGAAAAGAATAAAGCTAAGATAAAACATGAACGTGATCAAGAAATTCTACTCTCGATTACAGCACAATGCTCTATTATAAAAAACAATAAAAACAAATAAATTTCAATTCTCACGAGCATTCGTAGTGCGTTAAAAGATATTTGGTCGCAAGCACAAGTAAAATAGACATTTCTTTCTCTGAGACTATCTGTAGCTAGGTTTGCTCATACAATATTCATGCATTCACACAGTACAACTGACCTTTCTCCTGGCGATCTGCTGGTCGAGTCTATGCCGGCACCCCATCAGACATTCCCATAGACCAATCCCGTGATATCCATTGCTATGGTCATCGCCGTTTTCCATCTGACGCCTGTAGTCCTCCTCCGAAAACTCGTATACGTCGAGAGGGTGCCGCGAGCCGTCGGGGCTACCCAACAGTCGCGTTGCAGACAGCTGGTGGCTATATGTCCATGTAAATGAGATACAGCTTCGTTACACACACACGCGCACGCGTGCGTACGTCAATTTGCATTGAAGATTTGTCTTTCATTTTCATGTTTACTCTTACTTTTTTATTTTTTTATTTATTATCTTTCATACAGCCACTTGACGGACTTACTTCTTTTGCTTTGAAATATAATTTATTGGTTTTTGATTGCTTTATGAATTCATCGTAAAGTACTTATGAAGAAGATAAAATTCATTAAAGCTTTTACCTATACAATTTTCCCAATAATCTTAAGATTACTTTGTTAATTTTATAAAATTGATATAATCTCCTAAAGCATGTGTGCCCTTTATCACAAAACGCGTTACTCACTCCTTTTGTGACTGTTAGAATGATAGATGTTAAAGTTGCAACAACCCAGCTGTAGAGGAGTTTGCACATTATTACTTAATTTGTGAAATATATAAGAATTTATAAAGTGCATATGCATAAAAATGGTAATTTGACTTTAGTATTTCAATCGGCGTAAAATGATTGAAAAGAAATTACTGCTCGCGCTTACAGAAATCAAATTCGCACTGTTTATTATAAGACTTGATATGAAGTTTATTCAAGCTTTATATATGGATTATACGAAGATTAAAGCAAAAGCGTATAAATTTAATACCTAAGCTTCCTCACGTCAATAATTGAATTTTCTATAAATACTGATGCGGAAGAAAAAGTTAAAAGCATTTACTCTGTGTATAAATCAATATTTCAACGCATGAATGACATCGCGTCGTTGTAACTTATTGAAAAATTCATTTCTCTATTTCGCGAAAACAGGCAGTAATCCAACTTTCTTTCACGCATCATTTCCCTTCAAAAAAGTATGGGTTTCTAAAATTGGCGTGAAATGTAGAAGACACCCCCCCCCCCCCCGCCTCTACTCTATCCTCTTTTCTCTTTCCCTCTTTCTTTTGTGTCAGCGATGTTCAATTTGCATTGGTTCTGACGGCCCAAGCTCTGCTTTCTCCAGTGATGCTCGAATTCTTTGTTTTTACTCGAGCAATTTTTCTTTTATTCAAGTGCAGAACAATGCACAGCGGCAAGAAAGTAAATAGGTATACGTTTATTTACTTTTTTCTTTACGCTCCTCGTGGCGCACACAAAAAAGGACGCTTGGAAGGTACGTTTTCTTGTTCGGCTCAATTATGCAATTTATATTTATACTTGTTTTTTTGCAACTGTAGCTTCAATTTTCTCATAATTATATTGATGCTGGAAGGAAAACTCGTTAAAAGTTGAAATAAAGGAATGTCGTCGATTTTCTCCTTGCTTTTATTTTATTGTTAAAGTTTTATCCTTTGTTACTTTTTCTCGAATTACTTTTCGTTCCATTATGATGCTGATTTTGTTAGAGTGAGATACGATTATGCGATCAGACAATAAGCACGTGGGAGTATAATTAATTAGATAAATTTGTATCACATATGAATGAGGGAAGTTAGGCTTGGGTCAGACGTGTCTGACGTGCCATCAATTTTTACTTTTCAGCAAATCGGAACGTGCAGAATTTCTCGTAATTGAAGCACAAATGCTTCATTCAATCGAGCGTTTTACGATAATTTCTTTTTACTAGAAAATTGCTTATTTTATCCATCAAGTGCAATGCAGTTTTCATGAGGTACATCAAGTAAAGTATGTTTGCGAAACTCACCCGATGTAATCCCTGGAGCTGATGGAATCCCAGGACATGGCGGTGTTGGATATATTGAATTTGTCATGATGAATCCAGTCATGGCAGCTTGGTCTTTCGAGATTCTCGGTGACAGACGAGATTTTGGCTGGTGCCTTGGGCGTGCCAGGCGCCGACTTCGTCGGCGTGGCATACACCCCGCGACGATCCAGCGTGGTGAAAATAGATGATGGTGGCCGGCCGCTGTGATGGCTACGCTGACTGGCAACGCTTCACCTTGATCCACGCACATCTTCTTCATCACTAGCCAACGTACTTGTCGAGTGTAGTTGACCACCGCCACCGCCGACCTCTTGGTGCCATTGGTGCTGACGCATTATACACGATGTGATCTTGCTAAAGGAAAACAGCCGCGCACCCTCGCACACTGCTGAAGTCTTTACGCTATAATAGGGGAAGAAAAATACGTAATCAACTCTTCTCTCTCTCTCTCTCTCTCTCTCTCTCTCTCTCTCTCTCTCTCTTTATTACTTCTACGGCATATTGAATACTTGATTAAGAACTTTTCTTTTGTCATATGTGGAGTGATCTGAATATACTCGTATCAACTAATTTGTACGCGTAACCTTCTCCGTATTTTAGGAAGAGGTCTTTAGAATATTTAGTTTATTTTTATGGGAGCGTTGATGATGTAAATAAAAGTTAGTTAAGTTCGATCGAAATAGAAAAATATTGTATTGTCTAGCGAGAATTTTAACATTGCATGGAAGCTCCACATTAGACAAAAAGAATTTTCGTTCAAAAGTAAATATAATTGTATTTATTTTTATGTTAATGGTAAAACAAACGACAAAAGTAAGTAAATGTATGATGATGTAATTTATTGGATTCTTGTACATATTTCCTAACAGATGTTCATAAGCTATTGAAACTGACAAGTTATAACGTGATAAATGAGGGAGAGGGGTATGAGAGGGAATTATTTCCATGGCGTCTAATTTTCGCACCCTATGTGTATATCTATACGGAATCCAAGCACATGAAAGAACTTTTCTCCCAAAATATACGTGTGTATATATCATCTTCGATGATAAACAATACCTACACGAAAAAGCCATCAATATTTTTTTTTCTCGTTCAGCACGCATTAGGGCCTATTTACTTTTTTATGAGAATATTTTTTCTGATATGGATTGACGCTCGGAAATTCTAACATGGTCTTGTATATACATATACATATGTACACACACACACACACACACACACACACACACTCTCTCACACACATAAATTTCCTTCAGCTTGAATATTCATTTGAATTCTTAGAATTATATCTTGTTTTTGAACTTGAGCTTTTCACGACAAAAAAATTAATTTTTAATTTGTACGTAGTAGCTCGCGTGAAGAAAAATGTTTCTTGAAAAATGTTCAGACGGCATCTCAGTAAAAAAGTACCAGAATTGATGTATGACCGAAGAGAATTCCAGATGAGAGTAATAAATTTAACTTTTATTCTCCGAAAAATTTCATGTTTCATTGAAATAATCTACGCTCGTGTATTGTTTGTAGAACCATAATCTTCTTTCGAGAGAAATTATATATTACGTAGAATAAGTATACAAACAGTTATTCGATCTCTTCTCTATCTTGTTTTATATTTTAGCTTTTACTAACAAAGATATTTTTATGATAGCGAAGCTTTCAGCGGGAAAAATGAAATAAAAGCTGGAATGCAAATGGATTGGCAAATATTTTAGTTGAATCCACTTTCATTTCTTGAAAATGCATTTGTTATCGGAAATACTTAAAAATCGACTGTTCTTTTCGACGTCACCAAAAGAGGAAAATTATCGACGATTATTAAAAAAATTATGTTTATACATTACTTCAAAATTGTCTTCAATTTGACGTATAACGATAAAGCTCCGATTTACATCAAGTGGCAGCATCACCAGCAATACAGTTGTCTGAATAAACGAACTTGAATATTCCGGAGCACGGCTACTGTCCCATTTTTGCATTCTAACTACGTATTTCGTCACTCGTGTTTCCAAATTAAATGTAAATTTGTAGCTTCATTTTTTCCCCACGAAAAAAAACAAAATAACTCATAGCCCTACATTCTCGTTGAATAATCTGCAAAGAGAAAAAGGAGAGGAAGAATCTAACCGAGCACAAAAAAACATGACACCCATTCATTTTGGACTTTATGTACACGTATAGGAAAGATTAACAAGATAGACGCAAAAAAAACGCTGTAGGCAAAAAATTGAGCGGAAAAAATTGAGTGCAACGATCCGATCTACTAGTCGTTGACCGAGTCAGAAGGCTGAATGGAGTGCGCGCATAGCGCGATGATATAATAACCCCTTTTCTCGCCCTCCGGCACCGTAGTCGTGTCTGAGCTTTCGCATTGACAGTGTTGCACACTTAACCCTTCCTCCTTCTCCTTGGCGATTGCAGAAAAATGTCTTTTGTTCAGTTATAGTAAAAGACGATCGCTCTTTCTTCTCTTTGTTTTCTTCATTCGAAGATTCTAAGCGATGCGTGCTATTAAAGCTCGTGAGCTTTCACTGCGCACTTGTGTTTTCTACGATTCCTTTTCTATGACCTAGCTTACAAAGGCCAGAGAATAAATACGCTGTGGAGCGGGATTTATATTGAAAAGTTGAAAAAGTTGAAAAACGAGATCTACGTTCAGAAAATATTTCTTTAAAATTTTCTTTCTGCTTTTGATTATTTTCAATCCGATGAAATTTTCTTTGTTTATGTAATGGCCTAGTTTTAATATCGTAACGTTGGATATTTTAATCAATGGAATAAATAGCTATATTCAGCGAAGCACCTCGTACCCATTTGTTAGTATTATTTACTAATAATATTAAAGTTCCACTGCATAAATTCAAACATATGCCGTACAAATAATTATATTTACGCGTATAATAATGCGCTAATCAAGACATCTGAAAAATCGAGTAATTCAGTAAAATTTCAAAATAGCGATCCCTTCATTGGCTACTCTTTACAAAGAGAATGGGAGAAGATTTGTTAGACATATTGACTTATTTTATGTCGAGATTTGTTTTGACTCTTTTGCAATATTTTCTATTGGATGGATGTATTATTTAAGATTACAAATATTTGGAATCAAACGATTGAACTAAAAAGACCTTTTTGTTTTTAAAGGATGTGGAACATTCGTTAATTAATTTTCGAAATAAATTGCATCAATAATTTCGCATACTAGTTCATGTATTTAGCGCACAAAGAAAACTCGTATTCAAATTCGACGACCTACAAAGCGAAAGAATATCCGAGATATTTTATCTATTCCGTTGGCATTCTTGAATCTCTCTCTCTCTCTCTCTCTTTCTCTCTCTCTTTCTCTCTCTCTTTCTCTCTAGCGTAGTATAGTGTATCGATGGTTGGGAACGCATGTGATTGTCACTCCACCCAGTTTTCACGTATGTGCTAGCAAGCTTTACGCACGCGTTTGCATAGCTCGTTGTCGAGCCTTTTCAAACAATGCTTGTGATTTCTATTTGCTATCCGATACACAGTAAGTGGAAAAAATTGAGAGAGGTCATGATTGAAGCTGCACAGTTTTCATCGCATATACGTCTGTTCAGCTGGAAACTCTCGACTTTTATTTGCTCCGATAACTCTCAACTCAGTTTCTTAAGTATGCCAGTTTCTTTTTTCTATAACCATTGAGTTTATTTTTTTGCGTTCGTATCCAACTTCGTCTAGGCGAAAGTTTGTTGTTCTGATGAAAAAAGAACTTTTAACGATTTACAATAAATAATATAAAAGATACGTTGCAGGCTTTACTTGAGAAGAACATTTCAGAATTAAAATTTTAAAAGTAAGAAAAACCGAGCTATACTAAACGAAGAGTCGAGAGAAAACATTTTTCTTAAATTTTTGTGAGGGGTTATGCGCGAGCAAAACGTTTAAAATAGGACAATTTGAGTCCCGAGGGGATACGCTATTCTCTTTATCTTCTCCTTCGCATGATGAATAGAGTCTAACATTATTTTGGAAATCGATCTCTTATGCTGTTGCTACCTGAGAAATATAATTTTTTTCCGTGTCAAAACAACGAACATTGATAAATTGATGTTTTTTTTTACTAACAAAAAGCATTTCGCAATGATGTGTTATCATTGCGATATTAATCGCTTAATATGACAAAAATCTTTATGTATAGAGATACGCTGTGACCATTTAAGGTTTTCTTTTATTAAATGCTTTTACGACTGAGTCATGAAATGAAATAGTACCTAACCGCATGTTAATACACTTATAACCTTGAAAGTTTAGATTTCCTCTCTGCTATACAATATGTTGAAATAAAACATTACTGTCCTAATGTTCCAAATTCCATTTTTTGCTTAGTATAACTACTTTTGAGTATAGCGAAAATATAAAAAAAAAACTAAAGTGTTTTTGAAAACCTATGGCCAAATCTTCATGTGTTCTTGATTTTTTCCTCAAAGAAATGAAATTGCAATAATACTCAAAGTTTAATTTCTATAGACTTGTTTCTTGAATTTCAGGTTAATCAAAACACAATTATTGCTACGTAAGATTATATATACTGGATAGGAGAGAGGGAAGGTTTCCTCACAGTGTATGAGTAATTTCCTCAGTAAACTTTGGAGCATAGAAATTGCATTATCTCAATTTGATACTTCGCGAGTGCTCGCCACGAGGCAAGTTCTATCGTGTTGCGAAGCCACTCTCAAACACTTAAATATAAAAAATTTTTATTTTTTTTTTGGCTTAGGCATATAATACGATTATCATCCATCACAATTTTTGCATTTCTACGCGTAGTTTGCGTTTAGTTATACTCATTATCTCCATTTTTTTAGCAACATAGTTCTATCTTAATGACTTAAATAATTTGTGACATGTTTGAATTTTCAATATTTCTTTTTCATACATCTAATCTCGCCATTCACAGAGTTAAAAAAAGTTTCAATGTATAAACTTTAGTCTCCACTTTCAAAGACGAAAAAAATAAAAAAATTATTCGCTACAGTGAGCTAGCAAGGAAAGGCTTAAGCTTCTCCCATTAATGCTTCATGAGTAAAAAAAAGTCGTAGTTTCCAACGCAAAAGATTATAAAACTAATCTTTTAGGTCATTCAAAAAAATGTAATTAATATCCAAGGTAAAAGGAAACTCGTTGCACACTCATTAGTACAATGTTTATTAAGATTTTCGAGTATGCTTCTTCAGAGAAAAGACGAGAATTAAAGCAGTGCCAAGGAGAGATGAAACTAATGATCTTTCTTTTCCTCCCTCTCTTCTTTATCCTCGATAAATGAAGAGGAACAAGATTAGAAACAGAGCGAATGAGAGAGAGAAATATCGATACAAAACTTCTATACAATAATACTGTTGTCCTACGCAAAGACGACGACGCAAAGACAACATCTCATTCGACATTACGGCATAGAAATTTTTCTTGGAGAGAAAGTTTTTTTTGAAAATTATACAACTTTCGTGCCGTTGCACTCGCAAACTTTTATTTATTTTTTATTTTTTCAAAGTTTACTGAAAGCGCAATCTTTGTAACAAAATATTTGTAAAAGTTTGAATGATCCATTGCTGTTTACGTGAAGCATACAATGCTGCGCATAAAAGATTTTCCAGAACTAAACAAAAATATTACTTTCATATCGTTTTTTTCAAGCAGAAATAGTTCGTACAATCGCATCGTTAATCTCGAGTGAGAAAAAAAATTTCCCGATTCGTTCGCATATCGAAAAACGCATTTTGTTTGACAAGAGAGTCGTATCAATCATGCGTGCGTAGTTTTACTGCAACACGTCAGAATACAATCGAATCTCTACTTCCCTTCCGCCCCACACTCACTTGACCTACAAATTCTCTTCGCAACGCAACACTCGCTCTTTCAACAAAACAAACAAAAAATAATGAAATACAGAATTCGAAATGAAATGAATCAAGATATACGCCGTATCTGAGTTGCGTGTAGCAAGGTAAAAGCCGCGCGAGCGCGCGATAACGAGACCTTCGCGTTCAAGGCTTTTGCTCGGCCGCGCCTTACAGACGTCAGCTGATTTTCGTTAGATATACATATATTGTTGTTGCTCGTATCATGCTGCAATGATATATTGCCACATTTGCAGCGTAGCAATATGAGGAAATAACTGATGAACGATTCTAAATCAGCTGTTTCTCATAACAAACTGCCTCGTTCGTCTGACATAACGCGGATTCTTTCTACTTACTCACTTCTTCTAGTTACACCTCACACACGAACAAAATCTTTGCACACCTTGAAAAAAAAGAACTTTTATTCACTCACTTTGTGCTCTCGGAAAAATTCTCACTGTACACCAGCAAGCACTATTGACACTGAGAGTTGGAGAGAAAGAGAGAGAGAGAGAGAGGGAGAGGAGAGGGAGAAGCGATATAGCCGTGCCGGCGCCAAAGTCGGGTCGAGAACTGTCGCGCCCGTAGAGAGCGGGAGAGAAGCAGAGAGCCGCAGCAGCCTGCGGACTACATGCGAAAAGCGCCCCTCTCACAAGCTCTGGAGCCTGCGCACCGAGAGCCAGCCAACCCCCCTATATATTACTCTGAGGATATAACGCCCTGACGCCCAAAAAAAAAAAAAAAATTCACGCGAAATAGCAGAAAGAAAAAACGCTCCTCTTTATTATTCGGCTTACGTATGCTCAGGCAATTGATCTTTGTCACGCGAGCACTACTGGATGATTTTCCGTTCTTGATGTTTCGCTAGACTTTCTTGCAAGAGCGACTGTAGTGTGCATGATGATTCGAATGCTTAAATATTTATCCCTCATGCAGTCTATGTGCTACGAAATAAAGAAAGGGCAACTGAAGATCAAGAATATGCAATTACGTGAGACGGATTCTGCCAAAGGAAATCGTTTGTGTGCGGGGTAAAGCACATGCACGCGCAAAAACCGTCCGAATAGCTTGCATAACGAGCGCGTATACGTCGTCGCGAATACTTTGTTCAAAATTGTTGAAATTGTTCTGTGAATCGCAACGTGCCTGTGTGCTTGCGCGCGGCTCTACTCTCCACTCTCTGTCTATCTCTCTCTTTCGCTTTTTCTCTCTGTCTCTCCGCCTTTCCGCTGTCTACTTTATTTTAATCCCCCCACTGCTTCGACTACTACTACTCGATATACCTTTTTCCGATACAATAGCATTTGTCTGACTTTCTATCTCGATGAAAATCAGCATGCTTACGTCTCTCTATCTCTCTCCGTTTTTTTAAAGACGTTTCAGAAAATAAACTTTTACAAATGAATAATGAAATTTTTCTTTTCTATACTGTCTTAATTGGACGTATTTTCAAAGTATTTTTTTTATTTGACACTTAATATCAATAAGAGGGTTTCACTAACCATGAAAAGTAGATTTTAATCATCTTATGATTACGTAATTACAAAACATTGGCGCTTGCTTGAGAAAAGACGGAAATTTTAACTTTAGTTAAGATAATTATTTCAGAACTCAGAAAAGAATCCACGTTAAATATTATGCAGATGGCTGACGATAAATCGGATATTACCAATGAAAGTAATTTCTAAAATTATAAATAATTTTCAATAGATACTTATCGAACGTATTTTAATTTTTAGTTGTATATCATCGTCTGTGAAAAAACAAGTCGCAAAGCATTGCCGTCGAATATCGAAGATAAGGAAAACTTATCGTTATCTCGGAAAATTAGGAAAATCGTCCAGGCGTGCACAGTGTACGGGCCGCGTCAGAGTTATCCAGCCATTCATCTGCGACAGAGATATATTAATGCATAACACCTCGCTTTTGTACAAATACCGAACGCTATAATGTGGGTGCTCAGCAAGAGTGTATCACAGCGCACTAGCCATCCGCATACGCGAGTTTATTTATCGTCGTCGCTCGGACTCCTCGGCGCGGTTGTAAATTCTTCCGGCGAGGACGAATCTCAAACGTCCTTTCCCTCACCCCACATTTCCCTCCGTGGAATTCGTAATCTCGACCAGGTGTAATTCTCTTGCGAAATTGAGTGCGTATTCTATTCTAGGTCATTCTGCGTGTTTTTTCTCTTTTTTCTTCATACATCAAGCGGTTAATGAGGCGCTTGCTCGCGGCTTTTAATTATTCCCCTTCCTACAACAAAAGGGAAGGATTTTTTTGCCAGTCTTTTGAAGTATTTATTACCCTCTTTGACGCGAGCGTGCGCGAGTTTCCTGTTACATTCTCTGCGTTGTTGCTCGTTCAGAGTTCAACCTCATTTCTCTGCGTAAGTTGATTTATACGACAAGCGCTCGTGATGCTATTGACGATGTATGTGTCAGCATTCGAATTGATCAATTTCGATGCCTTTATTTTAATAATAACATTGTTCTGTCAAAAACAAAAATTATCTCGTTTGGCTCTGACATTCTTTTGAGAGCAAACACAATGTTTCGCGCCGAGGTTACGAAGAAAGGGAGGCATTCTCACCGAATATTATTTGGCTTTTGCTCGAAGAATGATAATTTATTGTTGATTAGTACACGTGAAGGAGAAGAAATATCGTATTCGTATTGAACGAGCAATGATTATATTAAGAATCAATTGCATTATTGGCGATTGATGCATAATAGAGAATACTTGTACGTAGGAATAACGAATCCGATATTGATATGTAATATTGCGAAATGTAGGTCATACAAAGATTGATAACGTACCTATTCATTTTAAATATAGATTGTTGAACATTCGAAGAAACAATAACTAAAAGAATCATAATCTTCAGAGTAATTAGAAACACAAAAAATATTGATCAGCAAGCTTAGCGTGTCGAATCAGCGTAATTACTTTTATCATTTTCATGTAGAGCCATTAACGCGATCAATCAACAACGACAAAAATGATATCAACCTAGTAGTAATACCTAGAAGAATAAAAAAGAGAAAATCCTCGACGCTACCGCCACATCTAAGAGAGAAAAGATAACATGTCATTTACGCCTATAAAGAAACCCTAAAACTCTGGCAGAATCCTCACCTTTAGATAAGTATCCCCCCGAAAATCATCATTTCTCTCTCCTAGCTCCTAGGATAGTAACTTACACATATGCACTCATATCGCTACTAGTAGAAAATTATATACGGAAAGAGAGAAGAAAAAAACATTGCTAAAACGCGAGAGATGATGTGCGCACACGCTCGAAGGATTCCTCGCAGTAGCAGTAGCAGTGGCAAATGAGGACGGCTAATTTTGTTTGGCCAACTACGCGGCGCGACGCTTCTGTTTACCGTGTTGATTTGTGCACAAAGTGCTCTCCTAGCCCTGATTTTACTGCGCGCTTCTAGTCATTTCTTTTTCGCAGTTGCCTTTACAATTTGCAGAAATTCGTCACGCTAGCGGCAACGAATTTCGGTAAGTATTTACACTCGTTGCGTTGCTTGAATTGTTTGTTTCTCATGCGTAATTGCGAGCGTTCGGCTAAAGTACAATTATTTTGGCTGTTCGACCGGACTGGATTTCATACATAATTACATAGAACTAATTGCATTCTATTGTTTGGTACGAGAAATCGACTAACGTAATATAATATCGATTGCGCCAAAGTTTTTCACCTAATCGGGAATTTGCTTTTTGGATTTCTTTATAGCTACGACAAATACAATCATCCTATCTGATTTTCTTATCTGTGCTCAAACGATAAACTAACATATAATTAGGTTACTCAAACATTGCACAACTGCGAAATTCTCAGTGATATGAAAAAATAATGATAGCGACGTTAGTTCGAAGTTCATGGTACGCCTACGCTTGGATGGATAGAACGATACAAAGGTTAACAATATGTAATAGGGATTTAGCTACTGTTCTAATATAAATTTTTCAGTAATCACGAAAACTCGACATAGAAGAGATGTCATTGGCAGATGGAAAACCATCAGCCGCACGAAGAATCGATGCGTTTTATATGCAATATCATGTACTCGTACAATAGATCAAGCTTTGAAGCTTCCCAACTATTCAGCGTATTATTGTAATACAGAGGTGCACCAGAACAGTATGAACATATAAATTGGCTTATCACTACACACACACACACACACACACCAATTTCACGAGTAGGGCAAGAAGAATGTAATTAGGATTTCAATTTGAAAATCGATGGCAATTTCCAGGCCACCCGCGAGTGATAATTATCAGTTGAAGTTTTATTCGAGAGAGTTAGAGAGTGAAAAAAGAAGAAAGAAGATAGGTCAACCTTCGATTTCCGCTGTGAACACTAACGTGATTGACTGATGCGATTGCTCGTGACAATACTTTGATAAGCGCGAGGCTTTTTTTTCCTTCGTCTAGATAGAAGGCCTATTAATTAGACCTCGCATTTTTACTCCAATAGGCTATTTCATAAAATCGATAACGGACATACCTGCGAACTTTACGAACGATAAATCTTTCGTTTGAAAATTTTCAAATTTTCGCCTCGCTACTGGCTACGTTATTTTAATTACCCTACACTCTACGCCAGATTAGAGATTAATCGGCTAAAGTTATTTAAGTTTATTTCGTGGGTGTGAAAATTGCTTTCGACATTTACGATGAATTATTATATAGGTTCCCTTCCACGCCCCATTCAAAGGCGAGAGAAACTTCTTTTAACGATAACGATATCAAGAGTTAGCGATCAATATTCAAAGGTTTAACGCTTTCTTTTCTTCTTCTCGCGCGCGTGAGAAAATAGAAGCTACGTTATGCTGACTTTTATCGCGAAACTTTTATGGCGATGATGCCTTCTTTACGCAGCCGATAGCTATATCGATTAGACTCTCGCCAGCAGTGTAACCTTTAGTGAGATCTGCGAAAAATGGCTTGCATGAATTTCATTTTTTGCCATGCCGGTCGTAAAATTTTTCGCCCATCCGACCTCGTTTCTACATGCTGAAAATTCAAAAAAAAAATTATGGAAGAGATTTTTACAAGTACGTGCTTTGAATATTATCTTTTTTAAACCTCTTTTTTTATTACAGCACGGATAGTATGTATAAATTGATACTCCGGCGAACAGTATCAAGCCAATTAAAGTATTTACACCAATATAACCAAATAAATGTTATATAAAGGCGGCGAGTTAATTTACCGTGGAATAAAAGAGAAGACGCAGTATATCTGCCACCGAGAAATTCGCTATACGTCTGAAATGCAATTGCCTGTAGCTTTGCAAGGATGGAGCTTATGTCCTTATTGCTCGCGTAGACTAGAGAAAATTCTGTACGTGTGTCTGACAGATACAATCTTTCATCTATCTCATGGTACCAAATGCACGATATAGGCTTCTGAAGCATCTCCCGAAATCGCGATATTTATCGAGATAAACATTTATTTGGATTTTTTCCACTACATCAAGATATTTTTTTATTGTATGTGATCTTTTCTAAAGTCTAGCATCGTTTGATGTAAATACTTTTTTATTATGGTTCAGAATGTTATCTTCCAAGCGACTATTCACAAAACGGAAGGTTTAGTAATAACAAAATTGCTATTAAGCATGATGAACATTTTTTACATAAAGTATAAAAACTTGTTAAATATTTATGAAGAACTTCAATCTAGTACAAGACAATAATATATTTCGAGTCTTTTTTGTTTGTTTGTTGGATTCCTTTTCAACGCCTCTGAAGAATACATAATACTAAGATTTTCGTAGATACATCCCAAACGACGGAAAATAAAACAACTCACCAAATGAGTCGTCGTCGTCCAAACACAGCCCCGGAATAAAACTAATATCAAAACGCGCATATTTCACGCGCGATCGTGGCCCAATTCCATGCATGTCTACAGCTCTCTTTCTCTCTTCTCTCCCTTTCTCTCTCTCTCTCTCTCTCTCTCTCTCTCTTTCTCTTTCTCTCTTGAAAATACAAATCCCGTGCCAGCAACATCCTCGCGTGTGACCACACCTCCGAAGTGAGCCAAGGCGGAGCCATCGTTGGGGATATACTTCCGGCCTTGCCTTTTTAAATAGGCTTCCTATTTAAGGTGTCCTCTTCAATTTGTCGGCTCCTCTGTTCTCATAGATTTTTAAGTGCTACTGCATGCTGTAAGCTGTTTTCCTTAGACTTGTTTTTTTCTCCCATCTCAAGAGACTATAAGTGATACTTTCCAAATAACTCGACGAATAGTTATGAGGCCTAACATTGGCTGCCGCATCTATTCAAAAGTTGTAAACATTTTTTTATGCAAGTTCACGGAACGTATTGGGGAATAGATAAATTAATTTTACGCATCCGTGTGTGTGCGCGCCCCTCGCTATTAAAGTTTTTACGTAGCTGTGATTAATTTCATCGCGAGAAGCTTCCACAGTCAAAATACCATTACAGCTGAAATAAATCATAATACCCGCAACGGAGTTTCGAGTTATTTGTTTGCCTGAAAATTATTCTAAAATATACACATCTCACCGAACTCAAATATCATCCGTAACCGATAAATAACGCGGTCGTTACCGGGTATATAAATAATAAGCCTGAACGAAAATAATAATCGTGAGTTTCTCGGAGACGACAGAGCAACGTGACAAGTACTCATGATCATCTAGCAGCAATGAAATAGCTATAAAATTTGTATTTTGAGCTACACGCATATTAATTTGTCGACGAAATTAATTAAAATTTTCGCGCGCACGAGCAAAACAATTTTTATTAATAGTAATCTCGCGCCTCCCTGTGCGTACCACAATACAAAGAGTCTTTATTAGAAAGCGATTGCATAATACATGCCTCTCACTCACTATCTCCCTCCCTCTCTCTCTCTCTCTCTCTCTCTCTCTCTCTCGCTCTCTCTTGCTCTTTCTAGCCAGAATTAATTCTGCGCCCGCGAGAAATATAGCGGCAGCAGAACCGAGGCGTAAAGTAGGAGGAGGAGAGAGAGAGAGAGATAGAAAGAGAGAGAGAGAGTCGGTCCAGCGCCCCGGCGAATCAGTATTTCCGTCACTGTCACGCGCGCCCCTCTTAGCGTTTGAACGTGTGCGTAGGGATAAGAACGACACAGGCCGGAAAAACGAAGAAAACGAGGAAGACGTCGCGCGCGCGGCACCGTTGTAAAGAGACGCACAGACACTCGCAAGGCACACTCGGCACTCTGACCCCCGACCGTGTTGCGCTTTCCTCGTGCGCGGCTGTACGGCGATTGATCGACATCGTCCAAGGACACGGCATCGCGGTTCAAATAGCAAATGTATCTTTTGTGGTTAGCGAAGTGTGATAATGTACGTTGTGAAGTATTATGAAGCATTTCAGTGAACATTGTGCTCTCGATAGCTTAACAAATGTCTTCAAGTTGGTAGTAACGGTAATCAAACAGACACGCGATATACATAAAGCTTAGCGAAGCATAGAGCTGTGAACTCACTTGCGATAAGGCGGAAATGATGACTTTGATGTCGGAGATGGGAGCTTACCTGCAGTACGGTTATCCGGAGCATCATCAGCAACAGCAGCGACAGCCTGCAACGGCAACGCATCAGCCTGTGGTAAATCGTCAAGCCGATCAGCCTGCAACTCGCTCCACGCGATCACCTAGGCTTATTCGCTATCATCAGCAGCAACACAATGTTAGTATATTCTATACGCTGGTTGCTATCTAGTACGCAGGGACATCATATATTTTATGTCGAGCGCAAATTGAATAAGGAATAAAAATTTTCTGATTTCTTATTTTAACACTAGGTAAACTGAACGCGTGATGAGTATCGTAGTACGCGTTATAGTAGTTCGCAAGTTGTAACTTAGACAAGTAAATATATGACAATAGTTTTGTTGGAAGGTTATAACAGCGTAAAATAGTATTAAAAACATTTTCATGAAAATTAATCAATTGCAAATATTTTCAAATGGAAAAAAATAAATACTTGTCACGGAAAAACTACGGTATTTTATAGCTCATGAGTTATGATTTTAAAAAGAAAGTGAAAATGTTATAATATTACATCGTGAAGTAATGTTAAAAATATTCATGAGCAATTTGGGGAATTCGAAGTATTCAATCAAGTAAAAAAAGTACGCTTCGCGGCAAGAATGAATGGGCGAAGTAAAACATAAACTCTATATAAGGGGGCGATGAAGAAAATTTAAAATGCAAATTTGTCATAAAATATGTATGATGTCTGGTCCGCATTAGGACTAAAAGTATTTCAATCCCCGAAGGCACAGCTCAGTCTGATTGGAAATTCAATATCAAGCGTTTCAACGAAACCTTATATCCGCCAAAGTCAGATTATAATATTTTTCTTCCTCTCCGTTGAAAATTTGATGAAAATTAGAGCATTAACGCATACAATATACTTAAAATTAGAATGCACGTGGTTCCCACAATGGGGTTTAGTGTGCGTATGTGTGCAATATCTGATGAGATCGATTCCATAAGAGCCAAGAGAGAGAGAGAGAGAGAGAGAGAGAGAGAGAGAGAGAGAGAGATACCTTGTGCTGTTGCACACTGCATTCAGTAGATTACAAAGCTTCATCTGACATTTTCCTAATAATGACATAATGTTGCTGACACAATCTATCACAAAATTTACCTATAATACAATGGCCATTTTTAATGCATCGATATATCATCATCGAAACTGTTATACGGCTTTCCGGCTTTTCTAATATAAAGATTAAACATTCAATATTAAATTTTTCTGTTGTAAATTAACTCAGCATACTTTTTTCCGATGGTTAATATTACTATAGATATTTTAAAATCCGATTCGAAGTTACAACAAAATCAATTTCAGTTCTTTCGATATTTATTTCGCAGTTTCCCGTAAAAGGGGAAAAATCCCCGTTCAAAATAGCGAGAGGCAGGAAGCGCAGTGAACAGTATCTCCTCATCGTACCTTATTTTTCTCGCAGAGAATATGCCAGCAGCGAGGTTACTCTCCAACAATGGTGCAGCAGCAGCTCGTAACGTGCAATGGCGCCGAAGCAATGGAAACTGACTACCTGGCAAGACTATCAGCATCACCCGCAGATAGACGAGTGGACGACTCGGGACTTACGACAGTCTCTGCTAGTAGGAGTATCATTGAATCCTCAACGACAACGCTGCACTATCACGTTGGGTTAAGAATTGTTTTCATTTATTGGGCTATAATCCCTCAAACGTTTGTAGTCCGGCCTCTTATGTTTGATCCGCTGGATATATTCAATTCGCATACAAGTTGCATTTTCCGCGAGTGGCGTACGTCTTCAACAGCGCGATGCCGGTATTTGTAATCTTGCGGGACGCACGGATATGACGGTCAGACTTGTTGGAAATTCTCTGGCAGTTTTCAAAATCAAGCTTTTCATGCCACCTGCAGACTTCTGCCGATTCGTGCGGTAACGCGAATTATTTAGACAGATTATCGACGTCCTAGCGGAATAAATTTACGCTGGAATGCAAAGTTTTTCAATAAACGTGTATTAATCGAACATTTCCGAAAAATTTCGACCAACTACAGTATGCTTATAACGCCATTGTCAGTTGTCCTCATTACGACCCCAACTATCGCGCCTCTATCAATCTATCGTTACAAACCTAATCCATTACAAACGCAGATCACAAAGTACACGTTACTTGTCGGACACGGAGGACGACGACGAGGACGATGTAGACGACGACGACGACGACGACGACGACGAATCATCGGTTCTGTCGGCCGACGCTTCAGCAACGAGTAGTAGTAGTCCGAGCGTCAGCGAACAGGAGCGACTCGTTCCTCATACCACGGCTAGCGCGGATGGTCGAGTGTTGGCAAACGCTCATAACGATCACCATCAGCATCACCAACATGGGCAGCAGCGCACCTGTTTGTTGTGGGCGTGCAAGGCTTGCAAAAAGAAAACCGTCACCGTCGACCGCAGGAAGGCCGCCACTTTGAGGGAGAGGCGCAGGCTGCGAAAGGTATTACATGTGCCCGCCCGTGAGCGTGCACTGGTTGTTCGTTGGACAATTTACAATTGGAATAATTTCGTAATATTTGTAATAAAATTATGCAGTCTGTGGAAATTTAAATATACGGTAAAGAATGTTCAATTTTTAACCAAGTGAACTCGGCTTTTTACAATTGTTCAGTCACAATAAATCAGGTTTAGAGCTACAGTTTTGGAAAGGATTCTCATAGAATATCGGTCAGTAGCCTAATGCTTAGGTTCTAATTAAAATTTACTTAATCATCACACTTGAATGAAACTTTCACCGCGCTAAACCGAGCTTTCCAAAAAATAAAAAGAGAACAAATATTTACGAAAAAACTTTTTCTAACTAAAAGTTCTCTAAAGTAAAAAGTAGACGTAGAAAATATCAGTGGCTTATATCGGAAACAAAGAGGGAGTATGTATAGCGCAGAACTTATTTTTCACCAAGATGAAACTCGATCGAACGTATTCCTGTTCAAGGTAAACGAAGCGTTCGAAGTGCTGAAAAGGCGGACGAGCGATAATCCGAATCAGCGCTTGCCGAAGGTCGAAATCCTGCGCAACGCTATCGAATATATCGAGAGCTTGGAAACCCTTCTGCGAGGTAATCGAGTCTCAAGCTCGCACAAGAGGGCTAACCTCGAAAATATGGTAAGTCTATAACGAAAAAAACTATGCCTTGCGTCGTGCGTGCATGAACGGAAAGCACGAGAGAAACACTAGGGAAAAAAGGGAAAAAGAAGAAACGATGTTTTCATGATTCATCATCTACCCAATGTATACGCGTAATCCGTTTTTTACTATGTACGTAACGGTCATCAATATATGTACTCGAATGCAATAGCTCGGCCGTATAATCCTTTCAATATCCTGGAATTTTCTACATACATGTGGGGGATGCTAGATAGAGCGCAATAACGATCCGCTGTTGCTGCTGGTGCAGCCCTGCTATAGCTATCTAATATTAATGCTCATTACGCGCGAGAGAGGCCAAATTTTAAATTTCCATTGACATGCTTGCAAGCACACGACGTCTGACCCATTTAAGCTATAAAGATCGCGAGCTACCCATTTGCGAGAGAGGATACGTTCTAACTGTTCAATTCTTCACTACTGCTGATTGAGTGACTAATTGTATTTTAGCCTTCCAGCGGAACTGAGATCAATTACTTCTGAAATTAGTATTTTGATATTTTTTTATTTGATGTTCAACGTCTCTTGATGTTTATTTGTACGAAAACGAACATTGATGATTGAATATAAACAACTGCATTGGTATGCAAATAAAGAACATGACGAGGGGAAATTGTAGAAGACATGAAAATTCGATTATTCGGTCGATAATTTACATTTCAATTCGATTTCGAAAATCGTTCGACTACGAATGAAATCATTTCACTGGTTCTCAAATTATAGATTGTAATTTTAGGTAAACAAACCAGATCATTTATTTCGGTTTTAGCAGGTTAACCACATGTATTCAGTCTTTTCTAAGGAAAATAAAAAATTAAACTAACTCAAATGCAGTAAATCGTACGAATAACAAATAATAATAATAGTATTAATTTTGCTTTGTAAGCAAGTACAACATTTTCGTGCAGAGATGAAAATTGTCGCTAGCTATTAAATCAGCTTAAAGAAAAATGCAAATTAACGTTGTCAAAAACTACTTCTCGCCGTCGTAAATGTCTGATTCGCATTTGCAGCCGAACACTAAACGTCTAGTTTATACTCCACTTAACGTCAGTTTCGGCGTCAGTAATATCTTCGGCTTTAAACTTCCCAACGTCTCTCTTTCTAACACCATGTGCTATTCTTCTTCTTCGCACCTTCTTTTTATTTTCTCACTCGAACTGCAAGGTCACAGCCGCTGCACTGCTGGAAATAATTTTAGCCGACTTTGGTAATTTATTGCCAGCCACAGTGTGCGCGTCGAGAGAACGAGTGAGAAAGCCAAAGTAGGAGGTAGAGGGAGAAATCCGTTTCTCTCTCCCGTGCTGTTATCAGACACGTTATTTTCTGTAAGTTATTAGCTTCAAGTGTGAAATTTATTCTAATGGCTGGCACTATTAGTCGCGCTCTCGTTTATCAATGCTAGTGCGAATATTTAATTTTTCTGATTCTCGAGCGAGTTTTGTTGTCAAACCTCACATTTTATTTACTAATTTGTAATTTTTTACGTTTGTTACGTATAGTATTTTTCGCGGCGTCGAATGTATTTTTTGTCTTTACACCATTTCAAAACTAACAATCCATCGATAAGACAAAATGCAGTAATATTTGCTTTTTTTGTTTCGTTATCATTAAAACACCCCGCAGTTCTGTAAACGAATAGCTAACAACGCAAGTTGAATATTTAATTTTCAACAAAGTAGTCGCTTCGTTAAGCTAAACAAAAAAGTTTATCCTGCAAAAATATGAACCTGCGAAGGAGCACGGATAACGAAAAGTCAAACGCAACACATTAAATTTTAATTGGTCTCTTGCTGCAGCTAATGCGATCCAATAATTTAGCTTGTCCTAAAGGGTAAAACAATAAAAGCTCACCGCCACTCCATCGCGCACATGACAAATTGAAAACGTCACGCGCAGTCGATGCTCGCGCAGAGAGATTATATGCGACCGAGAAACAACAATGCAAAAAAAGAAGTTTGAACACGACCGCAAACGCTACACGCGCTGCATGTTTTCTTTGAGTTTTACAATAAGAGACAAAGTGAGAACGCCGCCTTCTGCCGGAGATTCTCCGAATACTTGCAATTTTGGCAGAAATGTTACTTTTTTCTTAACTCGCGCGGGAATACGTCCATTTTTTATAATCATACGTAATAAGCGATACGTGGATAACACGAAAGCACAGCGTCGGCGTGGAAAGAGATAATAATAACGGCTTATGCAAATGCAATATATAGAATGTCGGAGGTGTGAATGCGGCCAAAAGCTCCGCTTGGCAGAGAGTCGCGCTCGCGTGTGTTATTTCCCGAACGTTATAATGTTCCCGCACGCAGTGCAGATACAAATGAAAAGGCTTTTGTTGGCAGACGAGTCGATATATATATATATATACACACACACACACACACACACACACACACACACACACACACATACGGTTAAATTTTTATTTCAGAATATTTGCTTTCATCCTTTCTTGGATTCTATAACAAGAAATAAAACAAGCCGTGTGGTGCAATTGTATACCATTTAACACAATTGAAATTATCTAACCAATGTAAAAGTTAGTGAGCATATATTTCCAGAAATGTGTGAACGACTTTGAGTTTTCAACATGTCCTTTAAATCAACAACGTTGATCACTCCCAATGTAAAGTAATGTAACAGAATGATCCATGTTTCCTTGCAAAAAGCAATAATCATATAATTCAGCTGTTAATCGCAATTGTTTTGCGGAGTTGTCCATTTGAATAGTTTAATTAAAGCCAAGAGAGCGACAGATCGCATCTCGCGCAAACTAGCTGTATCCATTTTCCGCCGCAAATACATTAACATTACGGGATCAGAGGAAGAGGTCAGCCCGCTGTGTGCGAGTTTCAGCCATATTTCTGCGTGCGCAGCGCAATTGGATTGCACTATAACAATTCCAGGCGTGCACGGCTTACAGGTATGTGGAGACGAGTTTTCGCGCGCGCGCATGGAAGTTTCCGTGTATAATGCGCTAATGTACAGGATAGCGCAGTAGGATACGCTTGCGCGTAACTAGGTAGGTAGGAGGGAGATAGAAGGGCTTGTTACGGTCGTCCTAAATTTTCCGACGGATTTTGGGAGCCTGATACCATCGGCGCGCCCGCGCTCTGTTGATGAGATCCGACCTATTGATAAACTGCGCTGTGTATACAATTTGACGCTTTCGCTCGTTCGGGGAATATTACATTGTTGTTACACGCGGGATTCCCAGTTGTTTTTTGAATGCTCTGTAAATGGATGCTGGTTTAGAATTTCAATTCTCTATCTTTTATCACAGGCAGGATATTTTGAAAATGGGAATAAAATTTTGACATAGCTTTTCATTTATTCACCATTTCCATTATAAAAAAAACCATTTTTTATATCGACTTAAAATTTACGCTCACCTGATGTAGAACATCCAAAGGAATTTCTTTCTGACCGGCAATCTCTTATTATTTTAATAAAAATGATATCTGTAGATTCATATTTGGAAAGGATTTAAATTTCCATGATTGTTGATGTTACATGCATGAACTATCATCCACCTAAACTTCTATTTGCTCCTGCTTGGAAATTTGTAACTCTGGCACATCGGGCTAAGAGCAGATACCGCAAAGATACCGGATGCTTCTGCACTTGCGGTCACGTGCTGGAACAAACTTTATCACATTTCACTTACTGACGCGCCCGAAACTCCATCCTTTCGGGAAATGATTTATATGAACAATTAGAATTAATAAATGAATCGAGCCTCGTATGAGACTTAAATCATTTGTTTAAAAGCAAATTGCCAGTCGAATGAATATGATTTGTTAGGTACGTATGATTTTCCTTGAACGATTATATTTGCTGTCCAGAAAACATTAAATAATACGTTTCAATATACATTATAATCAAAATGTAAAAATGTATAGATTGGATGGCGAAAAATCATGATATAACCTTCATTTATTCGTAGCTGTAAGCTCATTAATACATGCTCAGACAAAGAGTATGCTAATAGGACTCATGACTTTTACATTTAAGCTTAATATTAATTTCTTTTCATGAAACATATGCGCATTTTTTTTCGTTTGTTTGTAAAGTGATGAAACTGAACTCCAAGATAACACGCAATTTGTATTTATGAAATATTTAAAATATTGTTTATAGAAGTTTACATATGAAACATATAATATTGGTAATATATATTCTAAAAAAATTTTCCTCTAATTCTTGAATGATAATTGTTTTAAATATCCCTCGAAATAGTGTTTCATTTCCCATATAACCTCTAACCTCATTACAGTTATCTGCGTGACGAGTAAAATCTCGCCACAAATCCTGGTGTCGCACGAATTTTGCATATAATCCTCAGCTTTGATACGTCGGCAAAGGTAGTGACTCGAATTCTTGACCTTCGGCCACAGAATTTGTTATGCTATTACGAGCTTCTCTCTATCTGTCTCTGTCTCTGTCTTTCTCTCTTCTCTGTCTGTTTGTCTGTCTGTCTGTCTCTCTCTCTCTCTCTCGCTCTCTTTCTCTATCATTAAGTCTTCCTTGAAAAATCGATCTGCAACTGCAGACATGAATTTCGCTTCGTTTGCAAGTTGCAGAGCGCTGTACAGTACTTAACAGCTATTTGTTTTCATTTTCGAAATGGAGTGAATATGCTAGTGAAGTCCTTGAAAGTAAATTACTTGGTACATTACGTTATCTGGAAAAAAAACCTGATGATTCATGTATGTGAGCAATGCAAAAAATTGAATCGTAGAAATATCCATCGAAAAGTCGTTAACATTTATTGACATCAGAGGCAATTTCAAGATTGAAAAGCCGCAATCACGAAAGCACAAAGGATTAATTGGCCTCCTTTAATAATCGAAAATTGAAATTCCTCATGGGGGGTAACGCTTCCACTCGGATAAAAACTTGCTGCTGTCCAAAGCAAAATATCGAGCTCTTTTTACGTTGATAAAACAAAATGGAAGAAATCTACATAGAAATGAATATTTCACGTGACTGTGTTTTGTTGCAGAGTGCCGACTCACCGCAGTACGTGACTGACAGACTACGCCAATTCTCCGACCCTTTGGCTAGGTTTCAACCTATTGGTGGTGAGTACGGAATTCCAATCTAACGCTTTTCATCATTTATGTGTTTACTACGTGGCATAGTCATCCTTCCATGCGAGAGTTTGTATACTTTAATCTCAAGCGTTGTCTACTGATTTTTTTCTTGCACTTTTACGTTGATGAAATAATAATAGTATTGTAACTTTCTCTCTCTCTCTCTCTCTCTCTCTCTCTCTCTCTCTCTCTTTTATCAAGCTGATCTTTTTCAGCTATTGCCTCCATTATCTTCAATTTTTGTTTTAGTCGTATGTTATTGCCATCCGATCGAGTGCGGCGATTTTGCTTAACTTCAAGTTTTTTCTTTCATTTTTTTCTTGTTATTCGAAAAAATTATTGTTCCGTATAAAAAATACGCAGTATAACTAACCGAAAAATGAGCGTGAAAGTTGTTTAAATCGAGAAGCAACACAGTGACTTTGTAATAATCAAAAGATACTTTACATCAAAGTAGGATAGTTCTAAATACCTCTTTTTAAAAAACTTTTATAACGATCAAAAATTGCTTCTTTAGAAAGGCAAAGGATGAAGAGATTCCATAGTCTGAAGTTATGAGAAAGAATGTTTTTCTCTCGAATTTTCTGAAATTAAGAAACTTTCTTTATCCGGGGTGAAAGAAAGAGAACATTTTTTCATACTTAAAATTCCATTAAAACGTATATCAATTATCATTCTTTATATTCGTTATTGTTATCGTATCTGTGATGCGCGCGCTGCTGCGTCTCTTTTTTCTGGCTCCATCCCAATTGCTGTGGTAGTGGCTGCATTTGGCTTTCTCTCTCTTTCTCTTTCTCTCTCTCATTAAAATTTAGTGGTTTATTAAAATTGCGTTAGAGTGGCCAATTTATGTATGGAAATATTATCATTGACTTTATTTTGGGGAGAAAGAAGGAAGGATTCATTGTTATACGACAGTGCAATTTTTATAAAACTGCTTATTAAATGTTCCTATTTGATAATCTTATTTAGGTATACGCAAATACGCATTCATTACTATATATATGCAATTTTGGCTCGTGCGGTCCTTTAATTAATGACGCATGAATCGTCGACTGTATAATTCTCTTATTTCTAGGCAAATTTTATCATTGGTTACAGTTAAAGATTTGTTTGGATTAGACATTTGCTAAAAAGCTGTTGACCTAAAGACGAATAAAGAAAATTACATTTCATATAATTATTCGAAAAAATACTAAATAAGCTATTAGTACCAGCGGGAGGTGTTTTCAGGAAGCCTAAGTATTTTCTAAAATAGAAACCAAAATAAGATTTATCTTCCACTTCAAAGTGTTATTTATCCAGGCACAAAAAAAAAGTATATTTCGATACTAGTGCGAAAAAGCGATTTAATTCTCGTGTGGCTTTTTCATCCTCGCTTCGCTTAGACGCAAACGTCCACGCGAGTATAAAATCACTTCCCGCACAAGTATCGATCTTTATTTTTCGATACAACGTGTGCGACGCGAGATTTCGAGCACACTCGGTTCTCCGATTACGCGTGATAGGTCGAGCCTTACGCACGAAGTATAAAAAAAAATCCATCATGCATCACCTTATCAATAATTATCGAATGATTTCACTCGTCGTTCTTTTTTCTTCATTCTACAACCTACCCGTACCCTTCACGCATATACGACCTCGTATAACGAAGACCTTTCGTCACCTCGTAGTTGGAGTATAACACCGATTAACGAGCCTGGTTATAAATCCTTGTAAACGTCAGGCGAACGCGAACGCTTACCGAGCAGAAAAAAAAGTGCTGCGACAAAAAAAAACGCCCGAGAGAGAGGGAGAGAGAGAGAGAGAGAGAGAGTGAAAAGAGCGTCTTTTTTACTGCTTTCTCTATTTCATTTTTTAGGTCAAGCTTTTGTACGTGTATAAATGTGTGTACGCATCTAAAGTGAAGAAGGGAAGCGAGGAAGAAACATGAAAAATGAACTTTTTAAACGCAAACGACACTCTTTAGCTGATTCGCTTACAATTATTGTATGAAAAATGTTTTCTCGATATTAACCTCGACCTTCCGTTGTTTCTTCTGAGATTTGTTTAAGTTGCCCTTTGTTTACGTGATTAAAACATGTTTTCGATCGAGCATTCGCGTATTCATGACTTAACGCTAGGAAGGAAGCTCATCCCTCCGGTCATCGATTTACCGATGTCCAGATTAAGATCGCGTCCACAAATTATCCGAGAGCTGAGAGGTTCCCCCTTTTCTATCAAGTGGACTTCCGCTCGAAAATAGCAAGCCCCCTCCCCCTCTCTTTCTCTCTCTCCATTTCCCAATAAAGTTGGCCAAAGTCGACTGGCCATAGATTATTGCCAGCGCCGAGTAGTAATCTCGATTTCTTGGTAGCCCGCGCGACAAGACACGGCGAAAGGGACATTAAGAAGATCAGTATTAATGAGCTTTGTCAAGTCTGACTGGCATCTCTCGTGCAAGCGCTATTTCGCTACAACGCATATAAGCTGGATTCTATACATAGACCTCACAGCAAGTTACATTTCCCCCATGGACAAGTTGTACTGCTGTTGACGGTGCTTGAAATTTGTGCGAATCAGCATCGAAGAGATTTTTCTTCGCCATAATATTAAGAATGATTGAAATCTAAATCTATACTTCTCAAATTGTATGAAGAAAAGAGACTCATATTTTCATTAATTAGAGCTTTACGTGGATGCTTAGGAATACAGGATATGCATAAAGTACAACAAAAAAATTCAATAACATATTCGAATTCCTAAAACCTATTTCGAGAGAGATAGTCATGCTGTTAATTTTAAAAATCAAGATTTTGTAATTGTCAGACTTTCAATCTTATATTTTCATTATAACTAGACAAAAATTCATCGTCACATAGCGAGCGTAATTACATAATATACTTGCTACATTTCTACATCAATCAGGCGTTTTTTTTTAATAGAGACTCGAACTATCGCTGGTGAAATAGTAAGTTAGATTGATTGTCATAAGAGCTAATTGAACGACAAGATCGTTTGAAAAGAAAAGTTCGAACCCATCAGAGTAGCCCAGCACTTTTTCCAATGTTCCAATGCGGCGACGGCAACCGCAGAACATTTTCTCAACACCCAGTACATCCCAAGCTGTTGTTTAGGCCTAAAGTGCTCGGGAGAAACAACTTTTTACTCGCGTTTTTGTGTCTCCTTCCTCTCTCTCTCTCTCTCTCTCTCTCTCTCTCTCTCTCTCTCAAGCCACAGTACAATCCGGTAATAGCCCAGCGCGTTGCACAGCAACGACCGATAGCTAATCTTCAAAACGTTATTTCCTTCACTTCCTATTGTTCTTATTCTTGACTTTACCGTCCATGATTTTTCTATTAGGTACTACACTAAAGTAGGTATTATCGAGGTCCTATTTTTTGCTGCAGTGAATAATTGAATCGGATTCTGGAAAATGCCAACAAATCTTTATCCATCCACTTTGAGAATTACGCAAGTTTTTCTCAAAGTTCGACGTGCAAGTCTTCGCTAGCATGATTCTTCTTTTTCTTTTTATCTGTGGATTTGGGCGAAGAATTTTCATGTCTACTGCATGTAGTTTCGTTTACGGAACAGAAATGCAGAAGTAATCTTGCAGAGTGCGTATACAATCTTCAGATTTGACACTTTGTCAAAACGTAGAATTTAAATCAGTCATGCTCATATGATTCGTTGACAAAATTGATCGAAGTATTTTTCCTAAAATATTATTCGTTACTAAAAATAACATATGTTACAGTTAGATACATACGTTCGATTTTCATTTCGTGAAAAAATAAAAGAGAGATAAATACAAGTATCGCCTTCTATTTGATATTGCCAATCTATTAAAAGTAACAGCGACTTTTTGGAAACGTTTTGAGCTAACCAAAAATTGAACCGCGAAAATCTACAACGAAAAGAAACTTTAATTAAAATACAATCGATAACAGAACCACAGAGAGCGAGCAGCATCTGAAATGGAGTAGGGGTGAGATCCTCGATTTTTCGCGAGCAAAACTATTTAACGTTGGCTCTAATTAAAGAAAAATAGCTGTAGTCCACGAGATAATCAAACCGGGTGGCGAGAAACGTTGTGAACGCTAGTGACGAGAAAAAAGAAAACGTTATTACTACTCGGCGACCTGACCCAGATAACAGAATCTCTCACGCCTGAATCCTCTGAATCCTCGGCCCTAAGCCAAGCATACACGAGAGCCTCCGAGAGCTTTGCAGGACTTAATAAAATTAAAAAGTTGCTCTTACTACGTCGCACACAAGAATACGAAAATTCTTACTCTGTGATTGTGGTACACAAGATCGACGGCCACATGCATAAGCTAAAGATACTTCCACGTAACTTGCTACGACAACTTGTAGTTTTCAAGAATATTGTGTGTATACTTTTCGCTGTATCTCTTTTAAGAATACACACACTTACGTATATTTCCTCCGCGTGTTCTCTTTCGTCCCTTTTATTTTATATATATGCCGAGCGCAAGTGTAGTTTGCGGCGGGGTAAAAACTTTTCTTTGGGAAATTCGCTTCAAGGCTGCCACCGCCACCAACGCGGAACCGCTGCGCTGCGAGAACGCAGGAAATTCGCTACTTATTTGATTACTCACTGCACAGAATGTTGAGTGTTCTTTTACATTCAGTTGGAAAGAGGAAATTAAAAATACCTTTTTTTAATTGTTTAATTTTGTTAGATTTTCGCGAGATATTTGTTTACTCACATTTAGACGGGAAATGATGTATAGTAAAGTGATAAAATCTATAAATTTCGTAAGCGAGTAATTTGAAAAAGAAGCCAATCGCCAATTTAATTCGTTGCCGCAGCCTTGACAAGTCACTTATGCAGACGTTGTCGTCCGGACGATACAACGCACCGGCACAACTTGAAGACAGTGGCATCGTCGCGGCAACGTCTAAGCCGAAAGCAATCAATTCACAAGCAATAACCAGCGGAAAGCACGAGTCCGGAGACTAATAATCCTGCGAAGGATTCG